GGGGGGGGGGGGGGGGGGGGGGGGGGGGGGGGGGGGGGGGGGGGGGGGGTTGAGCTGACAAGGCTTCTAGATGCGATGCAGGGCTGGGCTTTTGCCCCTCCCACTTCACCCTGTTCCCAAATATCAGGACTGGCCCAGAGTTCTGTGCTCTGTCGGTGCATGGGCCAGTAAGAATGGACGTGTGTTTTTGTTTGTTTTATTTGTTTTTAAGAAAGGCTTTGTTGAGATCTCCTGAGTAAATTGGGAGTATGGGGATCATAGTAGAAGGTGCAGGGGGGAGTGGTGAAAAATATATAGCCCAATAAAAACAATTAAAGGAAGGCCTTGTTGAAATTATATATAATTTATCCATTTACAATATAGTATTTTGTGGTTTTTCATACATCCAGAGTTATATAATCCATTCTAGAACATTTTGTTGTTGTTACTGTTTGGTTTGTTTCTTTGGCCAGGGCTAGTCTTGAACTTGCAGCTGCCCTGCTGTCTCAGTTTCTCAGGTCAGGGATTATAGGCATGGGTGAGCTGGACTCAGTTTTAGAATGTTTTCATCACCCTCAGAAGTTGTGCAATCCTTTCCTGCCTCTCTTGCCTTCTTTCCCCCTCTCCACCTTGAGTCGCATGCAACCACTTCTGCTTGTGACTGTGTGGATTTGTTTGCTCTGAACCTTTCATGTAAGTGGGATTGCACAATAGGAGCCCTTTATGTGGCTTTCTGCACTTAGCATAATGTTGTCAAGATTTATCAAGGTAGTAGTGTTTAGATATCTCACTTTCTTTCCTGGCTAAATACTGTCCATGTATACTGTCCTAGTTTTATTTCCTGTTACTGTGATAAGGCACTCTGACAAAAGTGACTTTATTTATCCGGCTTACAGTTCCAGGTGTGCTCTACAGTTGTGCGAAAGTTAAGGTGGCAAGGACCTGGAACAGCTTGGCAAATCCAGGCAAGAGCAGGGAGGAAGGAATGCATGTCACGCTCAGCTCCCTTTCTCCTCATACATAGTCCAGGACCCAAACGGCTCTTCCCACCTTGATGAACGTAATCAAGACAGTCCCCTCCCTGCAGGCCTGCAAGCATTCTTACCTACAGAGTCCTCTCCACAGCCCCAGTGTCATCTGTATGACCCTCGCCGTCCTACTCGTGTGAATTGACTAGTGTCTTACTGTGGAATTGGTTTGCATGTCAGTGATGACTAACAGCATCTTTTCCCACATGGCCATTTGTGCATCCTTCTGTGTTGGATCTGTTCAATATAACAGATCCTTTGCCTGTTTAAAATACTATTGGCTTTTTATTACTGAGTTGTATGTATTGTATGGAGACAGTTCATCTATATTGGCAGCAATACGTTTGGTGGACACAGATTCTTAGGAGACTTGGCTTAAGTTAGAAATGAGTTAGTAGGAAGGTTTGTGTTCTGTGCATGAGCCCAGAAAAGAGAATATATGTCACTTTTGTATGTGACAGCTCTTAAAGCAAGCTTGGAGTTAATGTCAGCAGGAGCAATGCCAGCTGTGCAGTTGTAGCGTTGCGTGCTGTAAGAGGCCAGCTCCTTGAGAGAATGCTCAGCTGTGCCGCTTCATAATCGACTGTCTCACACAAGTTCCTTACCATTCTGTGCCTGCGTTTCTCATTTGTAAGTAAGCTTGCATACCTCATGGGATGGACTGGATGATGATAAGTTAATACGAACAAGCAACATGGAACAGAGCCTGGGACTCAGTTTGAAGGAAAGTGAATGTCGTCATGTTGGGTCTTGTGACAACTGCTCTCTACAGAAGAGGGATGCTCAGACAGATCTCAAATGCTTATGGTTTTTCTTTTCTTTTAGCTTGTGGGCATGCTGTAGGAGGTTAAAACAAAATGACCTGGGTGAATGGAGAACCTTTATAGTTCCAGGGATTGAGACATGCTAAGCAAGCTCATGCCCTCTCAGCTACAATCCCAACCTAGAGAAAACTTAATGACCTTAGAAATAGTAAAGCTATTTTTACCCAAAATGAATGGCTCAAAGGTTCTATTTTTGTAGTGGATTCAAACTCGTATTGTGGTCAGGGTTTGAAGATGACTTGTGTGTAGCTTCATTGTGTTCATTAGTTCAGCTGGGGCCCTCCATTGGAATCACCTGGTGAGCTGAGAGTTTAAATTCCACACTTTTCTACAGTACCTAAGGGCCCATGCTCTGCTTCCACAGCTGAGGTTCAGATTTCCCGGAGTCTAATAGCTGATGCTGTTTTAGTTACTGTTCAGTTGTGGTGACAGAGTACCATGGCCAAGGCAACTTAGAAATGTTTGGTTTGGGGCTCATAGTTGCAGAGTCCCCATCATAGTAGAAGCAGGCTGGCAGGCAGGCAGGCATGGCACTAAGCAGTAGCTAGGAGCTTGCACCCCAATCTCCAAGTAGGAAGCAGGGGTACTAAGTGGGGATGACCTGGGCTTTTGAAACTTCAAAGCCCACCCCTAGTGACACACCTCTTCCAACAAGACCATACCTCCTAATCCTTCCCAAAGAGTTCCACTAGCTAGGGGCCAAGTATTTAAATATCTGAGGAAAATTCTTCTTCAAACCACCCTGATGTTCATTGTACCTATTCTTGTATTGTGTGATTGAATCACTTAGTAATCCCTTAAAATATATTTTTTTCTATTGAAAGTAAGTTAGACGCTTAGGAAGAAAATTGATAAAGGTTATTATGCCACTAAAATATTGTTGAGACAATGTGGATGGCATGGTTGTGAGGAATCAAGAAGAAGAAAAACTTGCAAAAGCCTGTAATCTATCTAGGCCTACATTGTAAGTGTTTTCTTTATTCCATTAAGAGCAGCAACAGCAGCAGCAGCAGCAGCAGCAGAGAAACAGGATTGGAAAAGTCGGGTGACATCTTACAAGTGTGGTTTATCCAGGCAGGGCAGACTGCAGCCAGTAGCCCTGGCAGGCGAATCCTCTTACTCACTCCTGCATAGGCACCTCTGTTGTAGGTGTAGTTACTTTACTTAGTTCCCTGCTTTAATGACTTTCTCATTTAACCTACCCCATCCATCAGGTAACGGAGCTTGACCCCGTGAGAAATTCCAGGTGGTCTGTATGAATAATCACGGCCTCGTAGAGTCTGGCTGGTTGGTAGTGCTCAGCCAGGTCTGGCTAGAGGATACAGTGCCACAGGTACTGCTATCAGTCTTTGAGGCCATAAACACTGTGGGCCTTCCCTTCATGTCAGGTGGAGAACGCGCGCGCGCACACACACACACACACACACACACACACGCACGCACGCACGCACGCCCGCCCGCCCGCCCGCCCGCCCGCCCGCCCACCCACCCGCATGGGAAGTCGGAGCCTGCTGGGAAGGTGTGCTTACCTTTCAGGGTTATCTCTGCTGAGTCTTCTACTGATTCTGCTGCTGGCTGTGTCCTGGGCCCTTTGTTTCTGTTTTCCTCATGACCCTTCAAGCCTGGTAACAACGTCACTTGTCTATGTGACTCAGATTCCTAGGAATCTACTGGTTTTGCCATTTAGGGCTTTGCCTGGTGACTCATCTCTTTCAGAGCCCCATTTCAAAGAAAGGTCACCCCAGACCAAACCAGTGCCCAGATATCTGGTGCATTTGGGGAAGTCGTTTGTGCCTGTGGCTATGTGGTACTTGCTTATGTTTTCCTTGTTTTAAGGCATAGCTCAGTCTTTGCCAAGAAAGTGAGGACTGTAGTCATGTTGCTGCCTCACGGGTGTTTTCAGAACCAGGCCTTCTTGGGGAAGCATGGGGATGGGGGCAGAAGAAGAAGGGCTGTGTATGTTGCCGTGTCGATGCCCAGTCTTTCCTACAAGCTTCCTAGGACATAGCATTGTTTGCACCTAGCTAGCCCTCCTCGCCAGCAGCCCTTCCCCTCTTGATTGGAACCGTGCTCTTCCAGAGGCCCGTTCATTAGCAGGACTGCTACAGCTTTAGAGAAGTCATGGTTGTGCCTTGCAGACACAAAGACCTTAGCCATGGCTGGAATGGTATCTGACTCAGTATAGAAAACCAGACCCCAGAGAATATCAGTCCCTGCCTTATCCAAGGCCATCAAGTAGTTAGCCCAAATTTCCTAATTTTAATTAGAACTGGGGGCTATATAAGAAAGAACAGTTGGTATCTTTTGCTGGGCCTGCTGGACCCACTTGTTGCAAGAGTCAAGTTCTCAGTAGCCTGAGTCAACTCTTTCTGCTCTCTTGGTGCCTCAGATTACCCAGCATGACATCCCCAATTCAAGAGCCTTCCTGTAATCACAACAACAGAGTTCCTTTCCTGAGATTCAGATGTGGGCATTTGGGCATTATTTATCCCATCATGTTGGCGTTTTCCACTGGTTCCTGCTTTCTCTCGCCTCCCAAGCACTTCTCCATCTCCCATGGAATACAGGTATTGTGATAGGGGTCAGTGGGACAAGTGGTAGGAAGCACAGCCTGGGCCCTCAGTCTTCTCTGAAATACTCAGACCTTGGACCCCAAGCTCTGGCCTAGATGAGCCCAGAGCCACCTGTCTTGCATGTTGCCACCCACCAGCTTCATTCAGCCTGTCCTTTCTTAGTCCTGCGTTTCTGCTTGACAGTGAAAGGCATACATGCTTACAAAGAAAGAGGCCTGTTCCTGCTGAGGGGCTTGGAGCTGAAACAGAGGCCTTTCTCAATCCACATTCTAGAAGTAGCTACTAGAAATAGAGTCATAGACGTAAGCGCTCTGGAATTCTCTCTGCCTGTTGAAAGAGACCCTGCAGTACACATACTCTCAGTGCCTTAATGTTCTGACGTTTCCCCTCGACGTGCTTTCTCTGTGACATCCCAGTCACGAGGTCCACTGCTCCGGTGCTCTTCCCTGCAGAGTGAGAGGCTTGGCAGTGACGGAATGTGGGTGACAGCTCCAGGATTCCGGGGTTGAGCACTGGATGGTCTGGATGGCCTCACTCAGTAGCTCTTCTGGGGCTACAGACAGATTCAGGAGTGTGGGTGTGCCCTTTGTTTAACCTGTTTCTTAATTGTGGGTATCTACTCCTCAGTTCAGAGGAAAAATGCTGAGTCACCTCCAGTGAGAGGGTACCTCCTGTTTTGTTTTCTGAGGGAAGAGAGCTGAGTACTGCCCCTTGGGGTAGCCTGCTTCCTTGCTGCCCCCAGCCTTCTTTAAGTACCCAGACCCTCCACCTTAGCCCACCTTTCACCACTGAAAAAGGCTGGGTGCTGTGCAGGCAGCATGTGAACTGTAGGCTCAGGAGAGATTTTTTTTTTTAATTTTATGGTTTATTTATCTTTATTTTATGTGCATTGGTGTGAAGGTGTCAGATCCCCTGGAACTGGATTTTCAGACAGTTGTGAGCTGCCATGTGGGTGCTGGGAATTGAACCCGGGTTTTCTAGAAGAGCAATCAGTGCTCTTAACCGCTGAGCCATTTCTCCAGCCCCTCAGGAGAGATTTGATGGGCCATTCCAAACCCTTCTCTCAAATTCTGAAGCCCACTTGCTCGTCAAGATTCCAGTGAGTATTGAGTACATAGTTACTGTGTTATTTGAATAACTTTATATTTTTTTGTTTGGGAAAGTGTGGCACAGTGTGTTGCACAATAAAGATTTGGATTCTGCCAAGAGCGCACTCACCCAGAGTGTGGCTAACAGTACTTGAGCTGAAAGAGACTTCACTCTGAAGCCAGTCTCATTTCCCCTTTACCCAAGCCTTGGCAGTTGTGGCAGCACTCCAGAGCTGTCCCTCAGCGGCAGGGTTTGCGACAGCCTGGAAACAAACTCTGGTGGGGGGAGCAGAGGACATGAAGTTAGTTATTGAAACTGCCTTTCTTCCTGCGCAGGCTGAGTTTGGGTCTTCTCTGCTCTCATTTCTCCTTTCGGGGTTGGCTTGAAGAACGAGAGCGGCAGACAGGGCCCCAGTTGCGCCTCAGCTCGCTGCTGCGCACGCCATTCTTCAGGAAAGAACAGAAGCACATTTTGAAGCTGTGGCAAATGGCAAGGAGGTTTTTACCTCCTGAAACATGTAGGAGAGTAGGAACAAGGAGTTCTGGCCTGGAAAATGTCACAGAATGTTGGGGCAGGATCACAGGTGCAGGGACTGTGCGGGGGTAGGGAAAGCATTTGTGAGGCTTCCTTTTCTTCCAGAGCAGCTATTTTGAAATCATTTTCTGTACAGTTGTGGGGTGTTATGAAGCCGGAGTTGACCACGACAGCAGGGTGATCATTAGGTTCCCCTGGGGTTGACAGAGCTCCAGCATGTCCAGAGCCAGGCATCAAGAGAGATTAAGCTTGAGTAATGTGCAACATGCTTACCCTGTGTACTTCCCTCTGGTCTCAGTCCTTCAGGTGTTAGACAGGTGTAGCCACCAGGTTTTAGGGTAAAGCTGTGTGTGTGTCTGTGTGTGTATAAAGTGATACCTTCACATCTTTTCCCAGCAGTATGATAACCTACATGTGCTTTATAATTTCTTTGTGATCTTCTAAATTTTTAAATTACTTTAGTGAAATTCAAATAAAAGGGGTAAATCATGCTTTTATTTATTTATTTTTTTTTTATAGTCCAGGTCTTTTATTTCTTTTTGTACATCAGGCCATGAATTCGTAGGGAATGGGCTCCAGCAGCTCAGGCTCCTTCCCGTTAGTCCTCACGAAGTGTGCTTCTCTGGGTGGAGCAGGCTGGCGCTTCAGCTGAACCCAGGTGCCCTTCTCTTTGGCTTCCTTTTTCTTCTGGTCGTTCTCCTTCACCCGCTTCAGGAAGCTGTCTCTGCTCTTCGAGTGCTTGATGTGTTCAATCCGCACATTAATTCTCTTGGCAAGAATCTTGCCCTTAATTTGCTTGTTTACAATGATGCCCACAGCATGCTGGGTGACATTGTAGACTCTTCCGGTTTTGCCATGGTAACATTTATGGGGCATTCCTTTTTGAACAGTGCCCATTCCCTTGATGTCTACAATATCGCCCTTCTTGTGGATTCGCATGTACGTGGCCAAAGGAACAACTCCATGTTTCCTAAAGGGCCTAGAGAACATATAGCGAGTGCCCCTCCTCTTTCCCTTTGTGTTGGTCATTTTGGCGCGGTAGCCATCTTTCAGTAACTCGCTAAATCATGCTTTTAAAAACACAAATATTAAGGGACTCAGGTGGCTCAATGAAAAAATGCTTGCAGCTCACGCATAAGGACCTGATTTGGGATCCCCAGTCCCCGTGTAAAAAACACTCATTGGGTCCACATCTGTCACCCCAGTACTGGGGAGGAGCTCCAGAAAGCTTGGGGCCAGCCAGTCTAGGTAAAATAGTGAGTTCCAGCTCAGGAGACTTGTGTCAGAAATAAAGTGGGAAGGCTGGTGAGAGGGCCAAGCCAGGAAAAGTGTTCACCACCAAGCCTGCTTACCTGAGGTCTGGAAAACTGTCCTCCTCTGCACATGTACTGTGGTGCACATGCCTGCCCCGGAAATAAATAGCTTATTTTATGAGGGTGAATATTTTGTGTACATGTATGCCTGTGTGCCACATGCATGCCCAGTGCCCATGGAGACCAGAAGAGGGATTTATATCTCCTGGAACTGCAGTTATGGGCAGTTGTGAGGTACCGTGTGAGTGCTTGCTGGGAATTGAACCCAGGTCCTCTGGAAAAACAGCCAGTGTTCTTATCTACCATGCTATCTCTCCAGCCCAAAACTAAAGCAAAATTAAATAAAGAAGTAGAGAGCATTAGGGAGAGATACTTGATACTGGCGTTGGCCTCCACCTGCATGCACAGGAAAACACAACTGCACAGCACACACCAGAACTAAAATATTGAGACATAGCTGCTTGTGCAAGAGTGTCATCCGGGTAGCTCAAACTGGAGATGGAATCAGCTTTCGCTTCCCGCCTGTAGTCTGCCTGGGGCAACACCGGTGGTGCACAGGTTGTCCTTGTTGAGCAGCCATACTGTGGTGTGGTTTACCTGTAGTCTCACTTATTTTAGGAGTATGGGCTAGCAAATGTTAAAAATCACACCTCAAAATTTATAGCTGTGTGTCAGGGCACATGCCCGCAATCCTAGCGTGTTGGGAGCAGAGGCAAGCAAATCTCAGTAAGTTTGAAGCCAGCATGGTCTATCTATCCAGCTCTGTGCCAGGTGGGGCTGTACAGTGAGACCCTGTCTCAGATGGCGGTTGTAGGAGGGAAAAGGTGTGTTTCCTCATGAGCCCTCCCCTAACCATGGCCGCGAGCAACCTCCAAGCTGCTTTCTTTCACTGTAGCTGTCCTTCTTAAGAATTTAAAATAAGTGAACTTTTTCGGGCCATTATAGCCTGTTACATTCCTTTACTTGACATCGCCCTTCAAAGTGACTGTGATTCACATTCCCACCAACACTACAAGGCCAGTCCCAGTTGCCGCACATCCTCCTGAACACTGGGAATTACTGTTGCTCTTAACTTTAGCTGTTGTGGGTGTGACCCTTTTTTAAACTAGTATATGATAACTTTTTTATCATATACTTTTTAAATGCTTTTTAAAAAATAATTTTTAGATTATTTTGTGTGTGTGTGTTGCCTACATGTATGTTTGTGTGCCATATGCATGCCTAGTGCCTATGGAGGCCAAAAGTGGTTGTATGCCCTGGAACTAAGAGTTGAGCTGCCCTGTGTGTGTTGGGAACCAAACCAGGGTCATCTACAGGAGCAACAAGTGCCCTTAACCACTGGTGTTTTCTTTTTCAGCACTTACTAGCCATTCTTAGGCAGAGGCTCCATGGTAGGGTTATGTCCTAGTAAGCCTAACAGTTGAAAATGCCGAAAGGCAAGCATGCATTTTATGCACCTAGCCCAGCAAACACTGGTGTAGCTGCATGTATTCTGTAGAGTACCTGTTGTGCACCCTTGAACTCGTGCGGCTCACTGGAAGCCACTCCTGGCTCGAGAGTGGCTTACTGCCTATCACTAGCCCAGGAAAATCCGTCTGCAAATTGTGGTTCGAATGTGTATTGCTTTGGAACCATCATTAAGTTTTAAAGAAAATCTTAAGTTTAACTTTACAAGTTAGGAAACTGCCTGTATTTTTCTTTTCTCTTTTTCAATTTGCTTTTCTCGACTCTTGATCATTTTTAAATTGAATTGTTTATCCATTTTATTGAGCTTTAAGAGTTCTTAAATGTTCTAGATATGAGCCTTTTGTCAGGTATATATTGACAAATACTTTTCAAAGGGGAAAAGTTTTAATAAACTTGATTTTTCTCCTTTTATCTTTTAGATTGTGCTTTCTGAGTGCTCTTTAGAAAATCTGTCCCACTTGGGATTACAGAGATGGCTTAATCAGGAAATAAACCTGACCTGAGTTTGGACCCCCAGTCCCGTGTAAAAACCAGATGTTACCTGTAGTCCCAGCACTGGGGAGCTGGGGGTGGGCAGATCTCTGGAGTTTGTTGGCTAGCCTAGCCAAACGGGTGAGCCTCAGGTTCAGAGAGAAACTCTGCCTCAAAAAAATGAACTGGAAAGTGATTGAGAAAGACAGCTGGAGTTGACCTTTGGCCTACACATGCACGCTTGCATACATACAAAGATATATGTGCACATGCATACAGAAAAGAAAAAGCACGTTTATATGTGTGAAAAGTACTTTTCTCCTTTTCTTCTAGAAGTTTTGTGTTTAGTTTTTTATATTTAGATCCTTTTGGGGACTTTTTTAGTTTTATTTTGGTTTGGGTTTGGGAGGTGGGGTGTTTTTGTTTTTGTTTTGAGACAGAATCTCACTATATAGCTCAGACTGACCTGAAACTTAGGATCCTGCTGCCTCAGTCTCCAAAGTGAGCCACAACAACCTGTCTGTCATATATTTTGAATTAATTTGTATGTGTGGTATGAGGTAAGGTTCAAGTTTCCTATATATAACCACTTTTTATAACCACATTTTCCTCCTTGAACTTTTTTACATCCGTGTTGAAGGTCAGCTCACCATAAGAGTAAGGAGTGGCTAACATAAATAAAGCTGTGTATGCTTTAGTGTCTCCCTGTATTTGTGCACAGGAATTTCATTTAGGAAATGCTACCATCTTTAGAAAGGCAGTTCTCATAAAAACATATTTGTTGGTGAAAGTATAAAATCCAGTGTGAAGCTCCACGATTTGAGAATAGCTAATCTAACTGTACAGAAATTCAATGAGATAGATAGACTTGGATCTGGTTAATTTTGATGCGTGACTTTTAAGTAAAGGGCTTTTGTTGTTGTTGTTATTGTTGTTTTGAAAAAGAAAGAAAGAAAGAAAGAAAGAAAGAAAGAAAGAAAGAAAGAAAGAAAGAAAGAAAGGCTCTTTTCCAGTCTGTCTTGCTTTCCATGACTCTAGATCAGTGTGTACTTCCTAGCAATGTGTATTTTCTTGTTTTCTATACTCTCAAAAACATTCGGTATTATCGAATCTTCATTTTTAGAAATCTTATATACAGTTGTATTTGTTTTGTCTTTTCTTGTTTTTAAATAGAAACTCAATGTCATCTTTCCGTCCTGGGAGAGGACATAGTGAGAGTCGCAGAACCGTGTTTTACACCAGTGAAGAGTGGGAACTTTTAGACCCACCTCCTAAGGACCTAGAGGAGTCCCTGCTACAGGAGGAGAGGAAGAAGCAAATGCCTGAGGGGAGCAAAGGTAGAGAATGCACCTGTGCTCTGTTGCTCTCTGTGCTGCCATTTGTCACCTCTGGGGACATAACAGACACTTGGCTGCCAGAGTTCCTGGAAGCATGAAGTGTATGGCCAGGGGTGGGGGCAGTAATTCCTAAAGGTTTGTAAAGTGCTACAAGGAATAAATGTCCATCCAGCCCGGTGGCTGCAAACCTTTTCCAGGAGATAGAATAGCTGTCATGTTTCTGTGCATCACAGAAATGCTGACTGAAGAAATTTGTATTTATTAAGCCAGGTATTATGTCATATACCTGTAGTTCTAAGACCTGGGAGACTGATGCAGGAGGATTGCACATTTGAGGGCAGCCTGGGCCATGTAGCAAGACTCTGTCTCAGAAACACACACACACACACACACACACACACACACACACGCACCACCTTTATTTACAGACATTTGAGATGTACTCAAAAGGAACAAAACATAGTATCATAGATTCTGAAGAACTGGTTAAATTAGTCTTAGTCCCATTACTGTAACAAATGCCTGCGGTAAAGTATATAGAGAAAAGGTTTATTTTGGCTCACAGTTGTAGAGATCTTAGTCTATGACCAATTGAACCCATCATTTCGGGCCTACGGAGGTGCATCATCATAGGGACATGTGGTCAAGAAACAGAAAAGCTAGAAGGGCTGGAGTACCGCTGTCTGGAAGACTTCCCGGTAAACCCCAGTTTTCATCACTAAGAAGGCTTGGGGAGACATGCTAGTCTGAACAGTCCCCAAGTCAGAAGCATGCGCCTCTGTTTTTCATGAAACCAGGCACAGCAGGTATCCAGTGCTACCGAGGTGCCTGATGCTGTTGCCCCTCCCAGTCTCTGCCTGACCTACTGCAGGGCCACTGTGTGCTTCTAACAGCACAGATGCCTTTGTCTCTCATAGCTTCAAATAATCAAAACTCCGCGGTGCTTTTGTGTCTCCTGTTTGCATTCCTCAGGATGCATTTGAAGCCATTCATAAAAACATCATTTAATATGTAAAATCATACTTTAAAAATGTATCTATACTTTTTAAAAACATTCCTTTTGTTTTTGGTTTTAGCCAAAAACAAATGAGCAAAAGTAAGAAGCCAAGAATTTCCTAGTGTACCTCATCTTTCTGTAAAGTGCCCATGTAGTAGTCTTCTGTAAAGAGTGGTCTGAAACTCCGCTGGCTTTACCTCTAGAATGAGGTGGGACAAAGTGACATCCGCTGCTCTGCTTTCTTCATAGGCTGATGAGTCCACAGCCCCTCAGAGGGCAGTCTGTAAGGGTACCAGAAGAAGGTTTGACTTGCTCAAAAACTTTTTTTTTTAACATAGGAGTCACTAGTTCGGGATTCCCCTTCGAGTTGGGGCGGCACCCTTACAAAGGAAAGCGCCCCTTGAGAGACATAATTGGGTCATACAAAAATCGCCACAGCAGCGGTGATCCTCTGATCGAGGGAACGTCACCAGGTGGTGGAAGCCTCGCTAAGCCCGTCTCTGAGATGCAGCTGCAGATTCAAAGCCAGCAGGAGGAGCTGGAGCAGCTCAAGAAGGACCTGTCCAGTCAGAAGGTAACTGTCTCTTGAGTTTTGTGTCCCTTAACCTGACCTCCCCAGGGGCCCTTCCCTGACACATGCTGCTGCAGCCTCCATCCTGTGCCCTGAGCTATGCCCATCGTTAGTTCAAGACCCTAGACTATGTGGAGGGAAAGAAAGGTTGCAGGCTGCTGCTGACTGCACCACACCCAGTTCCTCAGCCTAGAGGTCTGAAGTTTCCACGTCCTGTCAGACAGTATAACTTTTCTAAGCTGGTCAGACATTCTACCTAATTGCTGGACAGTTCAGTGATTCTTAGAGCCTGGATTTCCCCCCCACACACACCCTGTTTTATCTTATTTTTAATTCTGTGTGTGGGTATGTGAATGCAGGCACCCTTGGAGATCCGAAAAGGGTGTCAAATCCAGTGAGCCTCCCAAAGTTGGTTCTGGGAGCCAAGCTCAGAACCTCTGCAAGAACTTCATATGCTCTTAACTGCTAAGTCATCTTTCTAGCTATCCCCCCACCCCCCCCACACACACACGTCTATTTATTTTTGAGACAGCATCTCACGGTGTAGGCTATGGAACAATTGATCCTCCTCTAGCACAGGAATTACAGGCATGTGCCACCCGACGGTACTTCACAGATCCCTTAGTACTGATAAATCTGTGCCAGGAACCATTGCTAATTACAGCCAGCACGTCCATTATTTCCAGCTTCCTATTATTGTTCTCTTCAGGCTGTATTTGTAGACTAAATTTCTTTCCTCTCTATTTTTGAGATCTTTCAAGAGGAAGTTTGGTATTAAAATGTTTCCTCATTTCCTCAAATTCCAGTGGTTACTTATGTAACATGGTTACGATTCCTGTTTTTCTCCCTGACTCTCGTACCCTTCATCTCATCATCTTCTTGGTTCCTAGGAGCTTATTCGGCTGCTCCAGCAGACAGTCCGGTCATCCCAATATGACAAGTATTTTACGAGCCACCAAATCAGCCAGGGGGTCCCCAGGGACACTCTGGAGCTTCTCCACCAAAAGGACGAGCAGATCCTGGGCCTCAGCGGCCAGCTGGAGAGGTACGGCCTGGAGAAGGAGAGTCTCCAGCAGGAAGTGAGGACGCTGAAGAGCAAGGTGGGCGAGCTCAACGAGCGCCTGGGGATGCTGATGGAGACCATCCAGGCCAAGGACGAGGTTATCATCAAGCTCAGCGAGTGTGAGGGCAGCGTGACTTCGCCCACCATGGGGCCCAGCTCTCCTTTGGCCACTCCAGCCAGCAGAGACCAGCTGGAGCTGGACAGGCTAAAAGTAAGGGCAGGGTGTGGGCTGGCTTTTTGGACAGAGATCCCAAACTTTGTTAGCTCCATCAGTTTTGATCCCTAGAGGTACTATTGTCAGTGAGCTAGTCTGGTAAGGGAGCAGAGCTGGGGGTGGGGCACAGAAACAGGCTTTGCAGTCAATTTAAAGAACTCCTTGGAAGCCCTTCCAGCACTGTTGCCATTGCTGCTATTGCCTGCCTGGAACCCTTTCAGCTCCTCCTGTCCCTGACTTAGGAGTAGCTGAAACACCCCTCCCCTCTTATTTATTCCCTTCTCAAGACTTCAGTATACCATGGAACATATGGAGGTTGTCAGTTTCCTCTTCTGTTACATGAATGCAAACACAGGCTTAATTTGCACAGCTTCCCACAGGCCTGGGCAGGAATATTGTCCCAGTAGTCAGAGTAGGGCCAGCTGGGAAAGTGGGAAAAGGAGCCTGCTCGGACAAGGGTCAGTGCCTAACATGAGAAGTCCTGCTCTTGGAAGGGAGGACAGAGCTGTCTTCCCAGTGCCGCCTTCTGAGATGGCCCAGGATGAGAGGCTGGCTCCTGAACAGAAGGGAACTGGGGTCATAAGCAGCAGTGGGAGGAGGGGGAGTACTCCCCCTTTGGAAAGCAGAGCAGCCTGCATAGTATGCCTGTCGAGAATCCTGCAGGTCCAGAGCAGAGAGCTGAACAGTTGGGGCACTTATGAGGAAGGCTGTAGAGAAGACCAGCACATCTTTGCTGTCAGCAGCTCCTGAGACTCTGCTGGAGAAGTAAACAAACAGGTAGACAAACATCCCCTGGGACAAGGGGCGTTAGGTAGATCTGACTCCAGCAGACCCCCAGTAGGTGTGTGACTCCTAGCCCATGTTTCACACAGCCATTGTCTTCTTGCCAAAAAAAAACTGACTCTGGGTGTTTGAGTTTCAAATGGAGTTTCTCCTTGAAGGGCCAGGTGTGTTACTGTTGAGATAGAGAGTAAGTGGCATGGCTTCCAGCGCCTTCCATTGGCCAACAGTGAGCTGAGCAAGTGCTGGGCAGGCTGGGGACTTCCGAGTTAGGAACACTGAGACAGCGGCAGCGTGTGGGTGATCTGTTTTAGTGACAACTCCCTTCGAATACTCGAAAGACCAACATGGTTTATTTTTGGTGTGTGTATGTGCACAGATGCACATGTATTTGCAGGTCCACATGCCCAGGGGCGCTCACATGTAGAGGCTACATGTTGATATTCTCCCTCCATACCTCCCCACCTTCTTTTTTTGAGACAAAGTCTGAACCAGTTGGCCTGGAAGGCCCAGCAATCCTCTTTCTCCATGCTCACTGCACTAGGCTTATAGAAGCACCATCACACCGGCTTTTATGTGGTGTCAGAAACCCAAATATAGGTCTGCATGTGCATCAGACACTTGACTGGCTAAGCCCTGGCCACAGCTCCCAACAGGATTATTAATGAGGAACCAAAACACTTCTTATTATATCAACTATAAAATAGCCTTTATTATTTTATTTTTTTATATTTATAAGACAAGGTTTTATACTGTAGCTCAGACTGACCCAGAACTCACTGTAGGCCAGGTTTGCCTCAAACTCAAGTTATTTTGTCTCCATGTCCAGGATGCTGAAATTACCAGGTGTGAGCTGCTGTGCTTGGCTGTTTTTAGTTTCTGTTTCATTTTTTTTTTTACAAGCAGTCTTAGTGTTGCCTGTAGAAGTCAGTTTTGTTTATATGCTCAACCGTAAATGTTTTGTTCCTTCCTACACATCCCCACAGGAGAGATACACTTAGTGTCTGCATTTGTAATGTGGGTTTTCCAGACGGTGTGTTTTGTTCTTGGCAGAAGAGAAATAAGTATATGGCACAAGTTTTCCCAGGGAGCTAAGCCAGGGTGTGAGAATGGGCCACGTAGCTGCTATAACCACCGAACCTTTGAGACTCTTAACCTACCTCATCCAACATGGACTGTCTCTCCTGTGTCCTTTTGTAGCTGGGGTGACTTTTGATGAGTCATAAGGATCTTTTTTCTAACATTTCTCAACAGCTTTAAAGCTGTGGCTCCAGAGTCTACACAGTGAGGCTTAGTGGGGAAGCTTCTTAGCAGGCAGAGACAGCCTGCCTAGGTCAAGACCTCATGTTGCTGGCCTTGGCTCTGCCTGAGCCTGTACTACAGTGAGATGCAGCACTCCCAGAAGAGTGTAGGCGGCTTGCTCGGAGCTCAGTCATCCTTCCACAGTGAACTCTGACTGTGGCAGTGACCTCAGGTCTAGGCCTCATCTTTCAAACAGTGCTACCCCTGGGGTGTTACGAGGTCTGAAGGAAGTGGTCCACATCTGGACTGGACACCTTGTGGAGTGTTTACTGCCAGATGTTATTGTTATATCAACATTCTCAACAAAGTATTCTGATGGTAAATAGTGAGAATTTACTGAGACTAGAGCACACATTTTATACTAAAGACAACCTACACAGCCAGCAGAGACCAAATACCTGTCATTTAGTCTTTCTTCTCACAGTTCAGTGTCTTTAGCTTCTTTCCAACCAACCTCCTGTTAACTGACCTGCCTTTTAATGATGTGTTTAGGGCTGGAGAAATGGCTCAGAGGTTAAGAGTACTGACTGCTCTTCCAGAGGTCCTGAGTTCAATTCCCAGCAACCACGTGGTGACTCACAACCATCAGTAATGAGATCTGGTGCCCTCTTCTGCCCTGAATGCATATATGCAGGAAGAACACTGTATACATAATAAATAAGTCTTTCATAGAAAAGAGAGAGAACAGGAAAGAAGTTTCCTTTCTCATAAAAAAAAAGAAAAGAAAGAAAAAAAATTAATGATGTGTTTATTCATTGTTCCCAAATACAGTATTTTTAAGATGCCAGGAGAGAGGAGAAAATGTCATCATTTGAGCTAGAAAAGGACACGTCAACCTTCTTTGGGGCCTGACATTTTCACTTACGTACTTGGGTTGCTGGGGCGATGTCAGTACTGTGCAAGGGTTGGGTTGCAGGTGAGGAGGCTCAAGCACTCAGCCTGGCCCTCTGAGCTTAGAAGCTGACTTCCCAGCACAGCATTCAGCGAATGCATAGCCTCCCTGGCCTGGGTCTGTCTGGGAAATAATGTCAAAAATGGCTCCTGGGGCTTGAGAGGTCTAAGTGAGACCAAGAAGCTCATGTGCCTTGCCCAGAGTTCTGTGACCCATAGCACGTGTTCCATGAGTGCCAGCAAATCAGGGGCACCAGGGGCACCTTTCCAGTTCCTCTGCATCTCATAGAACAGTCTATCAGGAGACTGGGGGGGGGGGGGGGGGGGGGGGGTGAAGGACTGTTTAGAAATGGTCAGGGGCAGATGAGGCTGTGGTTGCAAAAGATGGAATTTATAAGTAGTCTTTTTGAAACCACAGTCTTCAAGATGCTTCTGATTCATCTTTATTTAGAAGCTTTCTTGGTTTACCATGAGGAACATCTAAAGGAATCAGTAAACCTTACTTCCAGAGACTTTGCGTGAGAGCTCTTCCCTGCCCACCCACAGCTGCACTTCAAGTGGAGCAGGGCAAACCTTGTGACCATGGAAGGCAGAAGCAGGGCCAGATCTCTGACTTCATACTCATACATAGATACGTCCAGGACAACCAAGGATTTATAGTAGAGAGACCCTGTCTTTACAAAACAACCTTGTCTCCAACTAGCTATGTTCTCTCAAATACAAAATAAATGTCACAGAAGTGAACGGGTGGGCACCCACTAGAGGGCCCGTTTTGTTTTTGTAATTTGTGGAGTCGGTTCTGCCGGAAAGGAGAGCTTTACCACTGAGCTCCACCTCTGCCCTGTTGTGCTTTTCCTTCAGCTCTTCCCCAGCTTTGAAACTTAGCAATGTTCTCCAAAGTCCCTGATGCTTTGTCGATTGTAGCATTTATCATTACATGCCGTACTTAATTAAGGGCTTTTCTGCCTTTTTATAGCCATTTTAAAATAGAAGCTATATGAGTAAAAACAAGAACCTACAAAGAATATGTTCAATTTCTCTGGTTGAAAGGAATGTTAAATTTTGCTTTTTTTTTTTTTTTTTTTTTTTTGATTTTCGAGGCAGGGTTTCTCCGTAGCTTTTTTGGTTAAATTTTGCTTTTTTTTTCTCATCACCAACTTAATGGGTATGAATGAATTTAGAAAATACATCCTGCTTATTTCACCTGAAATCTCTACTGCTGAGTAAATGTTTTGTTCATCCGCTTCATTGCAACAGCAGTTCCCACCTCCTTCTGCTGTAGCAATGACCAGAACATTCATCAGAACACGCCTTCAGAGGTCTTCAGTTCTCTTTTAGAACTTGCTCTCACTTAGCAGGACTCGGATATGCTAATTAGGTAGGATAATTAACCAACATGCAATCCTCATGAACTGATAAATATTTCCCCCCTACAGGATAGTCTGCAAGGGTACAAAACCCAAAATAAATTTCTAAATAAGGAAATTTTGGAACTCTCCGCTCTACGAAGAAATGCGGAAAGGAGGGAGAGGGATCTGATGGCAAAGGTAAGTCAGGATAGACACATTTTACCACTTGGTGAGAGAGAAAACTTGTAACAGGAGGAGGGGACTGCTTGTTGTCTCACCTGCCTGGCTATCTTACACCCGAAATAATCACACAGAAACTGTATTCATTTAAACACCGGCTGGCCCATTAGCTCTAACTTCTTATTGGCTAATTCTTACATATTAATTTAACCCATTTCTGTTAATCTGTGTATCACCACGTGACTGTGGCTTACTAGCAAGATTCTAACCAGCATCTGTCTCAGGCAGGAGATCCATGGCATCTGCCACTCTGTCCTTCTTCCCAGCATTCAGTTCTGTCTACTCTGCCTACCTAAGTTTTGTCCTATCAACTAGGCCAAAGCAGTTTCTTTATTCATTATCCAATAAAAGCAACACAAACAGAATGAACTCCTACACCAGAAACTGTATTTTAGTGGATGTGCTTTAGAACCTACCTAGCCACCACATTGGGAAAAACATGGCTACTGGCGTCAAAATATATGTTAAGTGTGTCCAGTACATTTTCATTGTGGATAACAAAGAAATACTCTCACATGTGCACATGTGATCTTCATACATTTTTAAGGAATTTTCTAAGGTGAAAATGAAGTGCAATTTGGGGTTCTCCCAAATTAAGATTGTCTATGCTGTTGAGATTTAGTTTCACATCTGTGAAGCAGGAATGGTGAGAATATTACCATCTCCATAGATCCAGCAGGGTTGGTTTGAGAGTCAACCATGACTAAGGCTGCAGAGGGCTTTCCAGCTGTGTACTAGTGAGATACAAACACCTGACACTTCTCCACAGCTGTGGTGTGTGTGTGTGCTATCTTTTCTTTCTTTTTTTTTCTTTTTTTAATTATTTATTTATTTAAGATTACTGTCTCATCCCCACCGCCGCCTCCCATTTCCCTCCCCCTCCCCCAATCAAGGCCCCCTCCCTCATCAGCCCAAAAAGCAATCAGGGTTCCCTGCCCTGTGGGAAGTCCAAGGACCACCCACATCCATCCAGGTCTAGTAAGGTGAGCATCCAAACTGTCTAGGCTCCCACATTGTGCTATCTTTTCAACAGCCTTCTGAGCACATTTCTAAACCGTATTCCTGCATGTATTTGCCAGGGTGAAGTTGATTTTTCTGATTAGGTAGCAAATGGGAACTAGTCCTGCCTGGACATGATGTCCTAACAAAGTTGGTATACATGGGGTAGGGGGATTCATGGCCCATGTAACCAACTAGGATTAGACTTGACCTCAGTAATTGACGAGTTTTGTTGCTCACTCTAACCATGTTGAAGACTGGTACCCATGCTTGTCGGCACTCCCTCTGCGTCAAAATCCTTAGGAAAAAGTGGGCAGCCGTAGCAGGCTGTTTTAGCCCTAAAAAAGTCTGTGGCATGATTAGCCTTTCACCTGTGCTGTAGTCTGCAGCGGGCTCACTTCCGCATCTACTGGGCATGCTGGCTTGAGCTCATTGTTGCCTAAGATACCCAAGGCTTGCTTTTCCTGTGTTTTTCTCTGGGTGAGGGTAACACCTTACCTAACCTTATATTCTCTGCAGTATTCTAGCCTGGAAGCCAAGCTCTGCCAGGTAGAAAGTAAGTACTTGATACTGCTTCAAGAAATGAAGACACCAGTTTGCTCAGAAGAACAGGGGCCTACCAGGGATGTCATAGCCCAGTTGTTGGAGGATGCTCTGCAGGTTGAGAGCCAAGAACAGCCGGAGCAAGCGTTCATTAAGCCTCATCTGGTCAGGTAAATGTGGGTCGGGAAGTCCACCGCTTTCTAAAGTTCCCTCTCCGCAGCAGTAGACTTCACGGGCACTTATACTGTGTCTGATCTGATGCCTGTGACAGCTGCTGTCAGGCCAGTGAGACATATATCATCATTCTCCCTCAGAGATAAGTGGTGGAGCTGAAATCAGTCCACATCTGTTGATTCCAAAACCATGTCAAGAGGCCACACCTCCGATACATACCTCCTTCTGCCGGGGCCAGTTTTCTAAGGAATGGGAACCTTTTCCTGACACACATGCATCCCATCCGGGGGGAACCGAAAGCAAAGGGCCAGTGACGGGAAGCTGTTTTGCCTGTATGGGGAGGCAGTTCTACAATGACTGAGCGGCCCAAGACCCACATAGGATCTGAAACAAACCATGGACCCACCGTAAGATGCACTAGACACATACATGTAAAATACTACACTGTTTTTGCAGGGGTGAGGGTCATAGAACCTAGAAGTATATGACGCATCTTGGATTAAAAGCTCATATACAGTATATTTTCTGACAAATCTCAGAGTGTTGGGACTAGGAAGCTGCAGACTCACCTGGTGTACCCTCCCTTCTGCCTCTGTCACTCAGACACAGCACTGTCTCTGGGCCTTGCTCGGTGGTCTCCTCACTGCCTTTCCTCCAGCCTGAGATGAAGCCCTTTGACATGCCTGGCCCTCCCCAAGCTAACAGAACCTACCAGCATTGACTGCTATTCAAATGACAGAAGTAAACTTTCAGAATATGAACAGCACCATTGTTATAGCACACTTTTCTGTACCAGTGTGCCGGGCACAGGAACTGCTAAGTGCTCACATGCAGAATTGTTTTAAATGCTCAGTGCAGGTGGGCTTTGCCTCACTTTATGAGGTGACTGAGTTAGGAGGTAGTATAGCATATCCTAGTGATACCCTGTGATACATGGATGAAACCCCAGCCCAGGCAGCCAGAACCTCACATTCAAGGCTGCTTCCTCCACATCACATGTGGTTGCGTCGTTCATAGTTGTTGATGACCACAGGGAACTGTTCTGAAGGTGTGTTGCGTTCTTCCCATGTGCATTTAGGAGTTTTTTCCATCCTTCCCTGCTTTGAGGAACTACACTAGATAAACAGACCACAGAGGCATTATTGCTTCCCTTCATGAAGGGCACTTAAGACCTTTTTAGTTTCCGTAGTTACAGACACCATGGTCTATGTTCTGTGTGCCCAGCAAGAGTATATCCAGAACAGAGAAAAGGAACGCAATTCCTAATGTGGAAGAAGTGCACGCCTTCAACTGCACTAGATTTGATTTCCAAAGTTCCTAAGCATTATGTCAGAAGCTTTGTACTAGATTCCGATACTGCCACAACTAATCACAGACTCAGCAGCAACATTGCTGTCATAAAGTTCATGGGTCAGAAGGTAACATAAGGTCTTACTGATTGAAATTACAATTTAATCAAGGACTGGCTCCTTTTGGATCTTCTGGGGAACAGTTCATTTCCATCATTAAAAATGTTGGTAGATACGGTTCCTGGTAGATATAGCGAGCCCTGCATTCCATGGCTCATGGCCCCTTCCTTCTTCAAAGGGTCAGTGGCTGACCCAGTTCCTGCAAAGGTACCCGTACCTCCTGCCTCTTCTGTTGTTTTCCTCTGATCTGTTCTTCAGCTTTCCCTTTTTCTCTTTGAAGGGTTCATGTGGCTATTGGGTCTCTTGGTAACCCAGACAATGTCCTTGTCTTAATTCTGTAACATGAGGACATCTGCCACCATCTTCTCCTTGAATGTTGTCACAGATTTCAGGAGTAGGATGTTGACATCTGTGGGGCCATATTCTGTCCGCCAAAGCCTTGATTAATATTCATACCCAACATCTTACAAATATACCCTCTTCGTGTCTTCTCACCTTTGAAAATGATGCCTTGTGGGTAGGTATGGTAGCACACACCTGTGATCCCAGCTACTTGGAAAGCTGAGACAGGAGGAGCACTTGAGTCTAGGCTGGCAAACATCACAAGATACTTTTTTTATTAAAACAATACCTTTTGAAGCATGAAGTTGTTCCGGGTGTATGAAGGCAGAGACATGTACATTGACATAGCCACGTAATTGGGCCTCCTTTTTTTCATTTTCTTTGGTCCTTTATCTGAGACGGTGTCTTTCTAGCTACACTCAGACTTGTCTTGAACTTAGAATCCTCCCTCTCCAGCCTCCTGAACACTGAGATCGGCTGTGTACGCCCCTCTGCCCCACTTAGGTCAGTCTTGCTTGGTGATAGTGCTTGTATTTCCTTCCAGTTTTATCTGCTTTTATGGGTTTTATCTGGTTTTATGGGAGTTTTAACCCATCTGACAGTGATTTCTTTCCCTGTATGAATGGAGAGTTGATCTCATTAGACCTTTTCTGTGCAGAGGCCCGTTGTCCTGGCCCTGCTTATCCAGACGCTTGTATGCTTGATGGACTGAAATGTCTCCTGTTCCAGTGCACTGTTTGCCAAGACCGTGACGTTTCTACTGTCCCTCTTGTTATTTGTCCACAGTGAGTTTGATATCTACGGGTTTAGGACTGTCCCTGATGACGATGAGGAAGAGAAGTTGGTCGCCAAGGTCCGAGCATTGGACCTGAAGACTCTGTACCTCACAGAAAATCAGGAAGTTTCCACTGGGGTCAAGTGGGAAAACTATTTTGCAAGCACAATGAACAGGGAGATGGTATGTTCTCCGGAGCTGAAGAACCTGATCCGAGCAGGCATTCCACACGAGCACCGCTCCAAGGTATGGAAGTGGTGTGTTGACCGCCACACCAGGAAATTCAAGGACAGCGTGGAGCCCGGCTACTTTCAGAGCTTGCTCCAGAAGGCACTGGAGAAACAGAATCCGGCCTCCAAGCAGATCGAGCTGGACCTGCTGCGGACTCTGCCCAACAATAAACATTACTCCAGCCCCACATCAGAGGGCATCCAGAAGCTGCGCAGTGTCCTGCTCGCCTTCTCCTGGCGAAATCCAGATATTGGCTACTGCCAAGGCCTCAACAGGTGGGTGTCAGACTATTCTCTCCTGTGGTTTAAAAACATCTCCAGGCACCAGGCACTACCTGGCAGCTCCCTCTCCTCCCAGCTAAGAAAAGCCTGTATTCTGTGGGGGAAGGATCCCGGGATGACAGCAGGTTTTCATGTTGCAGTACCTCCAGCTCTGTAGCAGGCTTTCTTGACGACTGTCTTTGAATTGCCAGCCCACAGATAATGACCCGGAGACTTAATATTAATTATGAAAGTTTAGCCTTTAGCTTAGGCTTGTCTCCAACTAACTCTTATTAACTCAAATTAACCTGTTTCTATTCGTCTATGTTCTGCCATGTGGCTCGCGTTACTCTGTTCTGTACTGTATGTCCAGCTTCTTCAGAGTCTCATTGGCATCTCTCTGGTATAATCCACGTGCCTAGATTCCTCCTCCTCTTCCTTTCTCTCCCTGGAAGTGTTGCCTCTCTCTCCTGCCTAGCTATTGGTCACTCAGTTTTGTATTACACCAAGCACAGCAATATATCTTCACACAGCGTACAGATATCCCACAACACAGTTCTAGAGTAACTCAGGCAGGTTCTGCTTTAGAAAGTCTAAGGAGTAAAAAGCTGCCTGGGAATGTGGCTCAGTGGTATTGTGTGTCCTTGGCCTAAGTGAGACCCTGGTTTAGTCCCAGCGCCGGGATTGGTAAGCACAGAAGTCATGTGATGAGCATCTTGGAGTCTCATTTCTTTTTTCTTCTTTGCTTTTCTCTTCACACTTCAGTTTTAATCATAAAAATATGCATTATTTGATAATTGATGGAGTAGAAGCTTGTGTCATTTGTTTGTGCAGGATCCTGGATGGCTTTTTCTGCTAATTAGAACTCAGCCCTTAAAGGGCGTAAACTTGCTTGCCTTTTTTTTTTCAATTAGATTTTTTTTCTTACCAATTTTACTCGTGTATGTAGTCCATCCTGACTGCTGTCATTCAGTACTCTCCCGCCCCCTCCATCCCTGTTTCCTCCCCCCTCCCCACAGATCTCTCTCACATTCATCTCTATTTGTTTTGCTTTGTAGCCATTGAGTAGAACCTCTTACAGGTCTTGACTGTTTTCCACATTTCCATAAGCACGGAACACAGAGGGCCTCTCACCTTTTAGTAGTGATCCAGGCTGTCACCCTGAGCTGCATGTTGGGCCAGGACAAGGCTTTGTGGGTACCAAGGTCTGCTGCCCACCAAACTCCCCCTCAGCACCAGGCCCTGAGTGCTGGGACAGCTTCTTACCACGTGTCTCGTCTTACCCTGTGTCGTCTCTCTGCTGTCTGCTGTCACTGCAGTTTTGTGTTCCCTTCCAAGCTCGTCAGAAAGATAAACTGCACATGTGACACTCCTTTAATGCCAGCACTTGAGAGGCAGAAGTAGATCCCTGTGAGTTTGAGGCTAGCCTGGTCTATATACTAAGCTCTAGGCCAGTAAAGGCTACATAGTGAGACCCTGCCTCAAATGGGAGGGGAAAAAAAGAATAAGAATGAAGATCTTTGTGTGTGCTTGAGAAGTTCTCCCCTAAGCAGAGTGCGTGTGCTTGAGTTTTGGATGCTGGTGTTTAGTCTGGCGGCTCAGAGGCTTTTTGGCCCTGACCTCCTGGTAAGCTGTCTGAGTCTGCATGTGAGTATTATGGGAGGGGAGGCTTAAAGCTGGACTACTGCTCACTCAAACCCCAGCTGAAACCCAGTGGTTACCAGGAACCCATGACTTCAGTCAGCAGGACAGGGTACTTCTCTGCCCTTGGGAGGTTAGAGACACCTCAGCTTCTCTACGTCTCCATCTCAAAATTAAAACCTGCCTGAAGCAGCCCTGGTTTTACTTAAAGCCACAGCTCACGCCACACTGAGTCTGAAACCCCTGAGGCCAGGGCCCCACGGAAGACTTGCAGTGCTTTCCTGGAACCAGTTCTGTGATCCTCAGTGAACTGGGAGCACCAGCGCGCCCCCACCCCACCCTGTTAAAGATCTGAGTTTTAATTGTGTGTGGGGGTAGATTTTTTTCCTTGGAACACTTGGTACATGTCCCTGGCTCCTGAGAACCTAGTACTTCAGTGTGAGAACCCTAGCTCGTGCCCAACTTGTGCTAACCGTGCTGAGCCTCAGCTAAGTACTGTCCTGACAGTTCTGTTGGGACTTGCAGATGCCTCCTGGAATCCTGGGAGGGGAACTGGGCCTGGTTGTCTGTGTTTGCGACGCTGGGAACTTTTCTCTGTAACTGTCCTCTAGCTCTCACCTCCCCACTGTCCATTCCTTTTAGGGAAACTGGAGTCATCCCATTGCCGCCCACTCAGGTCCTGTTTTTTAATTTGAGATTTGCTGATTTCTTTCAGTTTTATCAAAGAAAAAGAAAAGATCAAATTCTGAACAAGGGCATTTTTCCTGTGAGTGACACATTTAAACTTTGTTTGGGACAGAAGTTACTGGATTTCAGCTTAGTGGAGAGGGACTTTTCCTCACTTCTGCCTGTTTCTGGTATAGCCTTATCCCCCACCCTTGTTTTGTGGTGTGGAGATTGGATCCCAGGCCTGAGGCATGCCAGGCCAGTGCTCTGCCACTGAACTACATCCCCAGCACCCTCTCCTCATACACACTTTTATTTGAAATTTTGAGACAGGGTCTTGCCGACTTGCCCAGACATGACCCTCAGCTTGTGATTCCCCCTGCTCTAGCCTGCTCAGAAAATTGAATCAGTCATGTTTTATCAGCAGCCTCTTGATTATGACAGTGGACAAATGGGCGGAGCCAGGCTTCCATTATGAGTGGCACAGCAGTTGGTGTGTGGGAGCTCCTTCCTGCCCCATGTGCACACCTCCTGCAGCTCCAAGGGCCCCTCTTAGGGATTCTGTGCAATGCCTTCCTCCCCTCAGAGAGCTGGGTAGTGGGTGAAATCAGATTCTTAATCTACCTCATACTCTGTTACATTCATGTAGTAGGAGCTGCAGGCCCAGCTCCTGGTGGCCTGGCTAGCTTATGCCCCTAAATAACAACACACAAACTGTATTCTTTTAAACACTGCTTGGCCCATTATATCTAGCCTCTTCTCGGCTAACTCTCGCACCTGGACTAGCCCGTTTCTAATAATGTGTGTAGCACCCCAAGGTGCGCTTAACGGGAAGATTCTAGCCTCCATCCATCCTGGGTCGGAGCTTCATCACGTCTGCCCGGGAGAGGGGAGCATGGCATCTGAGCTCACTTCCTCTTCCTCCCAGCATTCTGTTCTATTTACTCCTCCCACCTATGTTTTAACCTATGAGGCCAAGCAGTTTCTTTATTACTTAACCAATGACCTTCCTCCATCACATTCACATTATTTTTTAAAAATAAAAGGACTGATCAAAACATTTTAAGCAGTGAACTCAAAGAATTAGCTGCTTTAGCAGAATATTAGACTGAAACATTTTTTGTTTGTGGATCTGACCTTCAATGGCTGAGCCATCTCTTCAGCCCAAGTGAGGCATTTTTTACACAAGGCTGATGAATCACAGAAAGGCGATTTCATTGGGAAATAATTTCAACTTTGAACAAAATCCAAATGACAGAATCAGAGGAAATGTGGTTTTTCTCTTCAAGCTTTAGATGATCCATCACTTACACAGAAGTCCTCATTTATCCTTCATTAGAGAAGTAGAAATCTCACTGGCCCTTAGAGAAAACGGCTTTGGCAGACATCTTGATGAAGGCAAAAACAGGAGCCTGCACTGACCTTGTCCCTGTCTGCCCATAGGTTGGTGGCAGTGGCCCTCCTTTACCTGGAACAGGAAGATGCTTTCTGGTGTCTTGTTACCATCGTGGAAGTCTTCATGCCTCGAGACTATTACACAAAGACTCTGTTGGGGTCCCAGGTACTTCTAAATACTATGCCTTGGTCACTGGCTTCTAGGACTCCAGTTGTTGTCTGACCCAAGTCAACCCTGTGGGGGCGGCTGTGTGCGTGACTGCAGCGGGGCTGCAACAGCTGATCTCTGAGTGGATAGGTCAGCTCCTTCTGCTCTCTGATCACCTCAGAGAGACCGCCCTCCCTGGCAGTCTGTCATAGACCAAAGATACAGGGGCGGGAGAGATGCTGGTATGTTTAATCAGTTCTTCCAGGACGCAGGGACCAGGCTGGAGGAGATGTGGGGGGCAAAGGACTGCTGAGGAAGCTGGAGGAGCCTTAACTGTTAAAGGTGCCCTACCCTGCCATACCCTAGTTTAAAGAGCTGCAGTAGGATTGTCAGTGACCTCCCCCATCAGAGGATCTGGTACGCGTTCCCTTCACACCTGGATGATGACATCAGAGGCCAGAGGAGGGTGACATGGCCTGGAAGAGGCCAGATCATCTGTCTCCACCTGGTCTTGCCTTGGGCACTTCTCTGGGGACCAGGACTACCCTAGTGCTCCCCAGCTTCTCTGCTGTCCTGGCCGTTTTCTCTGTTTCCTGGCTACCTTGTTCTCCGGCTCTTCCTGTCTCAACCATAGCTATGGCTGCTCCACAGCTGCCTCTCCAGGTTCATGCAAGCCTGGCATACCTGTTGACACAGCCTGTCCTTGCTTTCCTTCAAGAACACATCTCCTGCATCTAGAAGTCGCAGCATACACCCTCCCTTTTACACTGCAATCCTGCATTCCCAGGGCAGTTGTAGAGGTGCTTCAGTTCACGCCACCCCATGATGGCTGTTACCCAGCTGGATTAACTCTTGCCTGTCTGTTCATTCTCCTCATTCTCCAGCTAATCAATGGTACCATCTATACCACACCTCTGTTATCTTAGGATGTCCAGCACCATCCAAAGATATGTATTTAGTGAGCCTGACCTTATTACTACCAGTTTCACTGTCAAGTCATACCATGTAGCAACCTTATTGTCCCCCATTAGGCTCAGGAGAAAAGGAAAGTCAAAGACATTGAACTAGGTAGGCCAGTTAATTCCCTTGGGCCAACAAGATGGCTCACTGTGTAAATTTTCACCAAGCTTGATGATCTAAGTTTAATCTTTAGAACCTACATGGTGAAAGGAGAGAACAAATTCTCATTTCCATACCATGTACATGTACACACCCCCAAAAAATGAATATTTAAAATAAATAGATAAATAGAAACAAAAAAGGTGCAGCTGCTATGGGACTGAGCTGAGGGCTGGACTTGGTCCTTGTAGCCCCACGCCTAAGCTTATGCACTCCTTCCACGTTGCCGCTGGAAGTTGGTGAGACGCTGAGCTCCGACCTTCCCACAGCTGCAGGTCCAGTTCCCTGTCCCAGATGCACTGATGTCATGGACACTAGAGAAGCTTGCCTGTTCGCCTTGCAGTCCCTTCACCTGTTGATTACCCGTGAGCTGTTTCCCTCAACATGAGTTTGTGAACTAGGACAGGGACAACAAGGGGATGAGGCAGTAGTCTCAGTCAGGTGGGGTTTTAAATATGTCGGCTAGTGCTTTGTGTAATCAGCACCTGAAAACAGCCCTGTCAGCTCAAATTTAGAGCCTCGGATGCCCCAGTGTTTTGAAATAGAAAAGATGAAGCATTGCTGTCCCTACCACTCTGGGTGGGGTGTCCTCAGATGCTTTTTTCCCTGATAGCGGTGCCTTTTCTTCTCTCAGATGTCTGTAACACTTCTCTCCAGCTTCCCCGTCCATTATGTGTAAGGCTGCTCTTCAAGTGAGTGTGCCATCGGTGCCAGTGCTGGCCAGATCCCAGAGCCCCAAGCCCGCTGCCTGCTGCTGCTGTGACCCAGCTGCTGGCCAGGTTTCCCTTTCTTGCCATCCTTGAAATGCATGTTGTGTGCCAGGACCTCACCAGGCATTGCAGACACCGATGAATGACATACTTATCCCATGTCCTCCAGTGCGCAGTGGAGGACGGCTAAAACAGAGGCCTCAGCAAGCATTTCCTGGCAGCCTGCTTGATGCCCAGCCCTCTGCCAACCCCTGGGCAGCCTCAAGTAGGCACAGTCTGCCATCCTGTTGGAAGAAGAGATGTGTACATATGTTTTCCTCCCACTTCGGTGTCAGATGGCTGTCCTGCACTTACAGCCGTCTTCAGCTGACCCCCGCCCAGACAGAACAAATCCTGTGTCATCACTTGGTCTCATACTCAGATGCCCATCGGTCTTGTTACTTTCCAGCTTCTTCCATGCCAGGGTCTAGAAGTGTTGGCAAATGTGTCATTGTTTGATTGTTAAAGGATAAAGCGTGTGATCTGACTGTCAAGGATGGTGCTCCTGGGGCAGGGGAGCAATGCTTCCTGCTGAATGGACATCAGCCCCAGCTTGACCTCTTAGGCAACTTGTGTGAGTGTGGGGTAGTTTGGCAGCTTTTGAAATGGTTTTGAGAATATTGAGGTTTGACAGGGCAGGCAGACATGGGTGAAAGGTGAGGCGCTCTACAGCTTTTTATGTGCACTTTTGTTTTTTTATTATTCCAGAAAATTGCATTCATTTTAGCAGTTTATACCTTTGATTTTGACGCTGATGTTCTTTCTAGCCACCCTGCCATGTTAAGCGTGTTCATTGCATGGATGTGGATAGTCACGGTGTATTTCTTGTTCGGTGACTCACCTTTTCTCATGCACCCGTCTAAGACTGCCTGTATTCATGGGAGTGTGGCAAGCTGGCACCAACCCGCCAGCTCTCTTGGTAGCCTGCTTTCAGCTGAGATGTTGAGTACGGGAGCTGTTTTTAGGCTACACACTGCTCCTTTCTCCCCATCCCCTGAGGAGAGGGCCATGTAGGGCCCTGCAGCTTTTGCGCTCAGCTGCCCTGGGCCACAGAGCAGCCTGGCTGTATGTGTTCCCATGAACATCTGAAACAGCTGTGTTGTTGTATGTCCCCATGTGTCCCACGCTCTGTTCTCAGGTGGAGCAGCTGTTCTGGTTTGCAGAGCCCAGATCTTTCTCTCCTCTGTTCCCTCTCCAGGTGGATCAGCGCGTGTTCAGAGACCTCATGAGTGAGAAGCTGCCTCGGTTGCACACCCACTTTGAACAGTACAAAGTGGACTACACCCTCATCACCTTCAACTGGTTCCTGGTGGTATTTGTGGACAGTGTTGTCAGCGATGTCCTTTTTAAAATATGGGACTCTTTCCTTTATGAGGGACCAAAGGTGAGTATACTCTCTCTAGTTATATGTGCTTGACCATGTCATCAATGACTGGTTCACCTGGAACTTAGGAAGTTACCACAGCCCCAAAGTTCCCAGTGTGATTGCTCCTGCAAGCCTTGGGAAACAGCAGTTACTGCTCATCCATCAAAAACCTCAGTGTGAAGCTGAGCACTGTCGCTCATAGGGAGATCCTGTCTCAGAATAACTAGCAAAACGCTCGGTAGTTCAGTGGTCCAGCACTAGCTTTGCTCCTATGAGGCCTCTGGGTTCAGTCCATCTTCCTCTCACCCCACATACCACTCCACAATACACCAAACATAGATAAATAAAAGGCTAATGGGGCAGCACAACAACCTCCTGGAATTACATGGTGGCAGGAGAGAGCCAGCTTCTACAAGTTTTCCTCCGACCTCTAGACACAAGCATGGCCCACACACATAACACACACCAAATAAATAAATAATTTTGATTAAGTAAAAATAAAAGCAAAACATAACTAAGGATATATAGTAGGAAAGCAATCTCTTTCCCAATTTCCTGTTGTTTTCTTCTCAATTTTTATATTCTCATCTGTGTTTCTTAAGCCCATCTAAAAGATGCTGTTTTAACTTACTGTATCTTGGAGCTAGTTCTGTACCAGCACATACAGGACCTTGTTACATCATGTTGTAACATGATGGCATTCCCTTGTACAGGAGTCAGAAATGTACATAGCAGCCCCTGATGGTGGCCGCTTTGATTGATTTCAATCTCTTGCCACTTCAGAACAAGATGCACCCAGCTCTCCTGTGACTTTCATCTTTGCACACAAAGGCATGTGCATTATAGATTTAGCCGAGAATTGCAGGATCCAAGGTTAGTCCACCAGTAGTGTTGGGGTAGCACCAGGTTGCCCCTCAAAGGGGCCTTATGAGGACTGAGTGGTGGTGGCGCACGCCTTTAATCCCAGCACTCAGGAGGCAGAGGCAGGTGGGTCTCTGTAAGTTTGAGGCTAACCTGATCTACAGAGCAAGTTCCTGGATAGCCAGGGCTATACACTCCCAAGGTGTAGGTGTGTGTATTATCCCGTATGGAGATTCAGTGTCCAGCATAGATTGCTACCATTTTTATAGTCTTAATTTGTCATTAATATGAAGAATTCTCAGCTAGGATCATCAACACTGTTCCTCTTGGACTATAAATGAGTATCTGAAGAGAATCATGAACAACTTGACCCTGTAAATATCACTTTCTAAGTTCAATACAGTGTAGGCTGGCGTAGGCTAGTCGGGACTCTTAGATGTGGAAAAGCAGTTTGTTCCAAAGCTGCCTGGACTTGTAAGACCACCAGTTCATTCTCCCCAGCCTGGCCCAGAGTACCCCAAAAACAAATCAGCGAAATCGACTGATTATTTCACTGCATTGAAGAGTCAGGCAGACCCCTGAGCCAAGACTGTGCCTGCCTCTGGAGTTGCAGCTTCACTTTTTCAGTCAAAAAAGCCTGGGTTTTGATCTTAGGGAAAACTGGCTCCTAGGTTAGTATTCTTTGCCGAATGCAAAGGTTAGCCAAAGGCGCAAGGATTCCACAGAGGGCTCCTCACTCTTAGGAATGTTTCTGAATTGGGCTGAACTGTTGGAAACCACAAGTATTTGTTTTTCTGTACCGAAGGGCTTTGTCCAATCCTGGAAGTCACCCCTGAATTCAGGTGTCTGCCTGAGGGCAGGGCCCTTGGGATACTTGCTCCAGCCTGCCCCTACCTCCTGCCCGCAGTCTCATGCCTGGACTCCTATCGTGTGTGTCTTCAGTTGCAGTTTCCCTGGCTTTCCCGTAGGTAATTTTCCGTTTTGCCCTGGCACTTTTTAAATACAAGGAAGAGGAGATCCTGAAATTGCAAGATTCCATGTCCATATTCAAATATCTCCGTTACTTCACTCGGACCATCCTTGATGCCAGGTGAGTCGTCAGGAGTCCTCAGACTCAGAGCTGTCCAGAGAAGTGAGAAGGGCTATGGCCTTCCAGTCAGTCGGGGAGATAGGGATGAATATGGTTTTGTTCTTTCTTCAGTAAATAAATCCCAGTAACCAAAAGCAGTGGTTCCATGCCTAAAACATTTCTGTCTCTGTGATAGGGCAGATTCTGTCCAGGAATGGGATGGTAGATAAAAACAGCTCCCAGTGGAGGAATCCTCCCTTGGACCGTGTAGTGATGAAGCCAGGCTGGAAGAGAACAAGGCTAGGGGGAAATAGCAAGAGTTGTGCTTCCAGGACAGATGTGGGAACAAGTGTACTTAGAGACAGTGGGAGGGGCCACTCAGTTCGTGCCAGGGTGCTGGGGCTCATGGCTACAGCCTAACCTAGCTCTTGTAGGCTATGCTTGGGACTTTGAGCTTCATTCTAGACATACTAGAAAGTTACGAAAGGCAGGAGAAGATCGGGGCGGGACTGGCCCCAGGACTGTGATTGGAAGGACCAGGAAAGGAGGCCATAGTCTGGAGAAAGGAGTCCTGAGAGGTGGAGAAAAGTGGGACAGATTGAAGACACTCGGGATTTGAACTTGGAAGGACCCTAGGTTTCTAGTGTGGACAGCTGGAATATTCATGAATAATTTCCCTACACACACACACACACCTCAAGCCACATAGTTATTTCCTGTCTGGGCTGCCATTTTCCTAGGCCACAATTGGTGTTTGCTCTGGCAGCTGGGGTGGTTGGCAGAAGCCACACCAGGCCTCTGGGAGGTCGTCTCTGTCTTTAGGATGTCTCTCTGGAGAAGATAGTTTCAGGCTTAGTACTAACACTAAAAATAACCCGATTTGTGCCCAGTGGGAAGGGTATCCGAGAGTGCTTGCTGTGAAAGATGGGTGAAAAGTTGAGAATGAGGATTTTGTTCATCTCACGTTGGTCAAGATTAAGAATGATCAATGAATTCCCACATGACAGCTGACACAGTTGAGAGGATTTTGGTTCCAGAGAGGGATTGTCGTAAGGGGAATGTCAGGACTGCCTGGAGATGAATCCCCCTCTACTTCCTGTCACCATAGATAGAACTGGGCACTCCCATCTTGTCTGATCCTACAGCGCCACCTTGTGAATGGCTCTTGAAACAGTTTCCCTTTGCTGTATAAAGGCAAGGTCACTGGACTAAGCTCTCAACGTGTGCCTCAGTTCCAGTGGCCTCTGGCCCCTGCTCCTGCACCTCCCCACCCCCAGCAAGGCTGCTGAGACCGCAGGTGCCTTGACTCCACCTCCACACTGAAGTTCCAGTATTTTAAGGAGCTGCCCATGTTGATGGTCTGAGGAGAGGCCGTTTTGCAGAGTTGATAGGTATTACAAAGAGGGACAGGGACTTCTATCACCAGGTGCATTCAGGAGACTTTGGATGATGCAAGATGGGACTGGTTGGTGTCTGTGGCAGGACTTCTGGAGTCCATGAGAGGCTGAGCATTCAAGGGCAGTATCTGAGTTCCCTAGGACTGCAGCCTGGGCCCTGCCGCAGTTGGCTCTTTCCAGCTAGAGGAGTAAATTAATAATTTAGCAACCCCTTTTCCACTTTCTATAGTAAAGAATGAATGTTCTGGTTTATGGTGCCTGTAGTTTGCATAAGAGGAAGGACAGCGGTGGGCTCCTGGCTTTCAGTCTCAGTGATGTGCCCCAGCCAGATCACAGAGCTGGGCATGGTTAGGTCTGCCTTAACCTCTGGTGATTGCCTGTCCTAAAACACATGGGGAACTTGGCCTGTGTAGAGAGCCGGCCAGTCTAGCCTTTTCACTCCCTTGCCAGAGAAGGTGGTTAAATTTACAAAGGAAAGATCTCGGCGCCTTGCATATCCTCTGTACACCTATGCTAACAGTAGCTCACACAGCTAAAGAACAGAAGAACAAATGGTTTGAAACGGGGGAAGGCCTGGCAACATGCTGTTGCTGCAAGTTTATAGGGCCCATGGCCAACAAGGGAATGAGCCCCTGCTGTCAGGAAGCAAAGCCATGCCATGCGTCTGGCAGAGTCAAAGCAGTGCGCCTGACCCATGAGTGCTGGAGAGCAAAGCCAGGCATCCAGATGGTCCTTAGCTCTGTCTTCAGTAAACACTGACCAGTGGCTAATGTAACAAACTTAAGACATGTTTTTAGTTGGTTCCTTGACAAACTGTCTGTGCCTCTTTGAACTGTGTCACACTGCAGACAGGGTCTGATGTCAGGATCTGATGTCATTATCATTCCTAATCCATTGGTGTCAGGACAATTTTCCTAAGCACTTAATATGCCCTGCCTAATGCTGTCCCTGAAGGTGAGCACCAGGTATTAGTGCCTCCATGTGGGAACCATATGGGTTGACACCTCTCTTATTCCTAGTGTGCAGATGAAGAATCAGGCCAAAAACAATTCTGAGTTTAGGGTCATCCCCTTAGCCACTGCACTTTCTTGCCTCTTTGCTTAAGATAGGCCTGGGCTCCCAGGATGGCATTCCCCCATCGGACTCTATGCATGGTACATGTCTCTTACTCCCTTTCCTGGTCTCCAGTCAGTGCTCTCCTGATGCCTCTGCCCTTTGTCCCACCAGGAAGCTAATCAGCATCTCCTTTGGGGATCTGAACCCCTTCCCCCTGCGCCAGATTCGGAACCGGCGAGCCTACCACTTGGAGAAGGTCCGGCTGGAGCTGACAGAGCTGGAGGCCATCCGAGAGGATTTCCTGCGTGAGCGGGACACTAGCCCTGACAAAGGCGAGCTGGTTAGCGATGAAGAGGAAGACACTTGAATGCACCCCCACCCTAGGATGCTGCTCTTCTTGCCTTTATAACCAAAAGTAGCAAAGAGAACTCCAGGCATGTCTCTGTTCATTCAGCTGCCAGAATGTAACGTCTGTGGCCTCTGGGTATCTGCTGGGCAGATGTCCAAAACTAAGCTGCACTTTCTCATCTCTCATTTGGAAGCAGAGGTCTGATGGCTTTACAGCCATTTCTACGCCACAGCATTCAGTCACATATATCACCGCCATGCTTGCTGCCCGACTGGTGACTCGCCAGTTGACTGTTCCCAAGGGCCTGTTTACAGCATCTTCCAGTTGTGTGAGTGCTTCACCCTGCAAAATTTACTATGCTCCACATCTCCCTGTGCTCTTTCTTTTTATTCATGGACAGCACTGTGGAGGGATGCCTACAGGGCTTCAGCGTGGCTGCTTCCAGGGGAAAAGGTCATCAGAAGGAGAGGGACCTCTTAAAAAACCAAGCACAACTCTTATTCCGAAGCAGCCTTCCTAGAGGGCATGGGAGCCCTCTGCTGGTGGCTTCACACTGCCAGCCACAGCCCCGTCTTCTAACCCTAACCCCACCCTTCTTGTCGCCAGCTGTTTTGCCAGTGTTGCTCTATCCTGACTTGCAGGGGATTGACACACCTCCAGCAGCTGCTGTGGAAATCTCTTCTAGCTGTGGATGACTTGGAGGAGCCATTCTCTAAGTGTGACTGGATTGGGGTTCCAAATGAACCTTGCAGTAGGCCCACCTCTACGTGAAGGAATATAGGAAAAACTTTCAGATGTGGCAGAGCTGTGGCTTGCGGACTCCTGGATGGCAGTGGCCAAGGCTCTGATATCATGTCCAGCGACTGGGTGGGGAGTGAGGCTGGCTGCCAGCCTCCTAGCCCCGGAAGCATCTTTGCCTGAGGACAAGAGTGATGAGCTCTTTATGTTGCCTGGATCATCCTTGTCCCCAGCAGGGAGCTGGGGTCACTGTGGCCTCTGGCATAGCATATTCTGGGGACTTGGAACACTTCCTTCTTGAAGCTTAGAGAGGATATGAACAAGGAGGATTATTTTTCTCAACCCTAAGCATCCCTGATGGGTGGCTGTCATGAGAAAGCATTTTCTAACACAGTATTATCGGAACACAAGGGAAACAGCCTTAAATGGACTATCTTACACTACCTGGAAAACAAAATAGGAAACAATCCTTAGCTAGTATAAACAGTGAGACTAAGAACTGGAGCAAGGCAGTTGTAAGAAGTGCTTTTTCCATGACCGGTTTTCCTGTTTTTGCTATCTACTTTTTAGCACTTGAATGGCTGAGTCGCTTTTCCAGCATCTAGACTGTGCTCAGCTTCTCTAAAAGTTGCTTTTTTTTTTTTTTTATTACCGTGTAAAAGGAGCTGGTCTCTATATTTAGTCAATAGCCTTTGTCTCATTTCAGGTATGAAGTGTCATCATCGTGACTTTAGGATGGTGGTTTGAGGCCTGGCTTCTTCAGGGAGCTGTCTGAATTGGACAGTGGTCTCACTGCTATTCTCGGGGCCTCCCTGAAACCAAATGCCGGAAGAAAGCCCACCCCCTATGAAATGATGGCTGTCAGCCTTGGGGACAGCTGCTAAGGAGGTGCAGTAGGATGGGGTTGGAGCCCCGTGGCTCAGCTCCAGATGCCTGATCTCAGTTGCCATGTCAGTTCCCCACTGAAAGTAGTCGGTCCAAATATATATTTCACATAAATTGTCTTTTAGCAGTGTGTGCCCAGTAGAGGCATCTTAAAAGTATCTGGTGATTCTGGAGACGTGGCTTAGTGGTAGAATATGTGACCTGGCATCAGCAATGCAAAAGGGAAAAAAAAATCCCCAGTATGCTCTTCTACCATCCCCTGAGAGACAGCATTAGTTTTCCAAGCAGTTTCAGTGGCCAGGTAAAGTCTCAAAAGGTCTCAGACTCTCCTCCCTGCAGAGCTGAGAGGGCATGGTTGCCTTCATTCCAGTTTGGGGACAGAATGACACAGGCTCCTCACAGAGGCATAAAGCCAGTGATTGGAGTCCCTCATCACTGAGACCTCTCTTTACCTTCCAGTGCCCTGAGGTTCCAGACTTAAACCAGCCACCAGCCAGGTACCCCTAGCATCAGGGGCTGCCTCGTGGTGCCATTCATTTGAACCTTTACCCAGCATGCAACACGTGGCTCCTTCCTGGTGAACCTTCTGGGCTGAGAAACCCAAAGCATAGCCTCCAGCATATGGGTCCAAATGCACGTGCCATGGTGCAGGGAGCTCCCTGCCCTCAGAGCTCCCTGCCCTCAGAGCCCCCTCTGGTGGGATTTACCAATAGTTCAACTATTAATACTTTTATATTTTCACTACATTTTATATTTTTATAGACTATTTTATTAAGGTTTTTCTAGATTCTGTAAGACTTTTATATAACAAGTTCTATTTTGTGTGCACGGCTCCCTTGTATGTATTTATATCGACCTGAACATCCCAAACTGCAGTTCCCTCCTGTTCCTGTTCCGCCTTCTCCCCTTAGCCTTGTCCATTCCTCACTTCTGCTCACCCAGGTAGCCTCTGGTGTCAGCTGTGCTCTGTTGATACAGGCAGTTAGTTACAGGCAGTTAGGCACCCAGTCGGGTTTTGTTATCTGTGTTACTGCACAGCCCCTCTCACTCTCTGTACAGTGCTGTCTTCCTGATCCACCCACCTCTGGGTGGGCCTGTTCAGGGAAGTCCTTGAAGATAGAGGCTGGACGCAAGCCCAGTGCCTGAGGTTCTTCTGTGGGCAGCTGGAGGACTTGACGGCACACCATCAAGCGACTGTCCTTTTGTATCCCAGCAGCTTTTATGCTCATCTTTGAGTTAAATGTTAGACTCGTAAAGGAAGAAATAAACTAATTTGTATTACATCCTGCCTAGAAAGGTAGCTGTAGTAATTGTGATGGAAGCCTCTGCATGGTCTTGGAGCATGGGGTGTGCGTTACGGGGTTGGCATCCAGTCTGCCAGCCTGCTGAGTCTTGTGTTCCACTGGGATAGGAGGAACAGGATGCCTTTCTCAGCACTGGTAGGCCTGAGTGTCATGGCTGAACTATGACCAGGGGCTGAGGGCAGAGGTCAAAGCCATAAAGTGAGATGCTGCCTACGTCTGGAACAGTCCTTGCCACCCCACCTCTCCCCTTGGGAGACAGGTACCCTCCTGCACCAGCTGTGCGTGCCCAGCCTGAGTCATCGTTTGTTTTCCTCCTGTCTGGGCAGACAGCTCAGGCCCAGCTGCCACTGGGGACTCCCACAGCCATCTCTGGAAAAACACAAGAATGATTAGGACCAAATGTCTTTCCACACGGGAGGTGGGGGCAGGGCTCCTCAGTGTAGGCCTGGACCTGGTAAACTGCTACTCTTAGGGAGACATGGATTTATTCAGCAAGGCCAAAGCTGGGTCAGGAACCCTAGGTCTCTGCCCAGTGCCAATCCCTGATGTGTGTGGGTCTGGAGCAAGGAAACGGCTCTGTTCCCATCTTAGTGAGGAGCTGCCATGGGGAGTAGATTGGGCAAAGTTGTAGGAAGCCATTACTCAGAGCGTGGGTCTCCGGGGCCTTTTGGGGCCCACAGGAAAGCTGCAGACATAGACAGGAAGCAAACCCAATGCTTCTCCACCCTGAGCATGGAAGTGTTTGGATGTACACACGCAACCAGTGACTTGCTTTTCTGAGTAACCTGATCAACTGTCTGTACTTGACCAAGCCACATATAGGCCTGCCTGGAGCCCAGAAGAGGAGGTAGGGGCTCCGGAGCTATACTGTGCCTGTACCTCCTAGTCACTTCCCTCCACTGTGAACGTCACCTGCTAATGTTTGATGAGATGGTGCGAGAATAGGGAACCTGGAGCTAGACAAAAACCTTTACTCCTGAGAACAACAGCCCCTGATCCACCCTTCCCACTCCTAGGTAGAGCACGACCTGGGACAGGCACAGTGCTGACTGGCTCCATCCTGTGATCCCATTTCCCAGTCTCAAGAAGTGACTTCCAGTCTACCCACATTCTCAATGATCAGATTCCTTCATGTTTCCACATGCACCTCACTCTGGAGAATAAACCGTGACCGGTGTCGTCCTCTAGAACCCCAGGCTTCAGACTTGGAGGAGGGGCATAAGGCCTTCCACAAGACATCCAGGGGTGACTCACAGCCAGAAGGAAGAGTAAAACAACCTTCTTCAAAGTACCTGCATGCCCAGCTGTTCCCACGTAGCAGATCACATGCGCCTACTGTCATGCCACAGGGAGCCCCTGTGGGAGACAAGACAGCCTCAGCTGCATGAGGGCATGTGGCTCCACCCCTAATGGAAGGTAGTGGGTGGGGGTGTGGAATGAGTGGGAAAGTGAACAGGATTCCCTAGGCCGCTGCCAACCTGGACCCCCTACAAAGAAGACTTTCCCATTCCCACCGTTTAACCCTCTGTAGATACGCCTTCCCTCGAAGCCATCTCTACCCACTTCAGGATCTTCCATGGCAGCATCAGGCATCTGTGTGTGACCTCGGTGCTGGTCTGCCCCCACAGGAACAGAGACGCTGCTGTCTCTCGAGGCTTTAGCAAGGGACAGGGTCATAGCCATTTGATAGGTAGGTAGGTAGGGGGTCATGTTGGAGAGTCTCCAAACCCAAGACAAGGCCAAGCTGCTTTGAAAGGGTAGATACTCATTTATGTAAAACAGTAACAAATGTGCAAACAGAATAAAAAAATACCTTTTCTGAGAGGAAGAGAGGTCCCCAGCCTGCCATTGCACAGGGATGGGGTTAGCACCGTTAGGGCACGAGGAGCAGGGCTCCACCGCAGCCTGTGGTGGGGCACTGAGGTCTGTGTGTCATGGGTCAGTTTGTATGTGCATTGGTGGAGGCCAGGCCTCTGTTCAGCGTCGAGCCACCCGCTGGTGGCCTCGGGAAGGGACACCACGGCTGAGCGGGGGGCATGAGCGGCAGCACTGAGCGCGGATGGTGGGTAGCTGGCAGCGGCCCAGTAGGCGCAGTGTCTCACAAAAACTGAAAGACAGGCGATCCCGTTCACAACCTAGGAATGGGAAGAGATGAGAAGAGATGCTGTAGGATGGTTAGAATCGGTGGGTGTGGCACCCAGAACCACACTTCATCACCCAGTAATTGGATTAAAGACCCCTCACCTCACTCAGTATTCTTAAGAAGACGTCAGAGCCAGGAAGAGACCCCGTTTCTGAAGGAGGGCCCCAGAATCAGAACCCCAAGTCCTTAGCTGTTGTCCCTGACTCGTCTGCCTTTGAACTACTGACACCGTTGACTTAACTTTCTAGAGGAAAGATTCTGAGACCCCATCCTTGACCACCTCAGGAGGCCATGAGATGCCCAAGAGCCTACCCAGGCGTGCTGCAAGCCTTCCAGCACTTTCCATCCTTGTTCAGTCATGGTACCTGACAGGGCCCACAACTTTACCTCCCGCACTTCAGTCAATCTGCATCCCCTCCACATCCCTGCCACCCTAAGTCCCACGTGCTTCTGCTGCCGCTGCCACCACTGCACCATGCCGCCCCGCCCCCAGACTCATGTGGGCCACATTCATCCTCAGCTTTCCTATAGCAGGACAGCCACCCGTTTCACTGGGGTATAGCCCAGAAAACGGCCTGGCCAGGACCACAAAGGCACCTGCGGCTGGGTGCATGCCCCCTGGTGACACGGCACAGGGGAGGGTGACTCTCCAAGCCCTGACTGTCAGCGGCTAAGGCCTGGCTGGCTCTCCTGGGAAAGCGATTTGGGGAAATGGCTGGCTTCCAGACCCTTGGCCTCCCTCCCAGTGCTACTGCTCTGTTGTTGCTGCTGCTGAAGCGGCAGCTGCCTGAGACCCCACTTACTTCCGCAGACTCCCTGGGGAGGAGGAACAGGCGGACAACCTGGAGCCCTAGTCTGCGGCATCCCCAGGTGTGGCAGAGGGCACAAGGCAGCAAAAAAAACTCCTCTGCCCTATCTTTTTGGCAGAAACTCCAAACTCTGTCAGCCTGCACAGCAGTTCCCCTGGGTGACCTCAGGCAGGCCTAACCACCGGGTGAAGGTTTCCTCTTGGTGGCACGCCCCACCTCCACAGGGAAGGCCACATAACTAACTAGGCGTGCCGGCGGCTTTGCCACGGTGATCGCACACCCTCGAGTTTCCAGGATTTCCAAATGTCCTGTCCCACAACCGCACAAGTCATCAAAACATCCTGGAAGCTCCAGGGGCTTGGGGTCCAAGAGTCTTCCCTGATTGGCTCCCTTCGCTAAGGGCATGAAACGCTTCATGTGGGTGAGCACTGGGGAACAGCCTAGTCATTTCCCCATTCCCCTGGGAGACCTTGCAAGGCCACAAGCCTCCTAAACCAGGCTGTTTCTGGTAGAGCTTCAGTTCCTGCCCTGTCTAGCTGCACCACCTGGGATCATAGCTACCCCTGATTCTGCCAACCCTGAGCTTGGTGTGAGAGACAGAAGAGCCGTGGGCACCATCAGTCCTGAGGGCAAGCACTGGGGTACAGCACCCAGCTTAGCCGTGCTGAAGTGTCTCATTGGTTCAGATAGATGCGGGGAAACAAGGAGAGCAAGACAAGCGGGAATGGCTTGAGAAACCCGGGTTGGCATTTTCTTGGCACCTTGAGGCAATGGGATTCAGGGCAGAATGGTACAGCAGCAGCCGCTCTGGTCCTGAGCCAGTACCCCCAGGAGCCAACTGCTGGTAGTGAAGGCTGTGCAGAGCAGGGGGAGGCAGATTGGGGGGCTGACACCCACAAACTATCCTGGTAACAGGTCCGGCAACCCAGTAGGTAAGTGCCAAGCTTCTGCATTCCCTCAACTATCAGAGGTGGCCTCAGACTCCCCTGCCTTTGCAGTGGTGGACAGTAATGGCTGCTGAACAGAAGGAGGGTAAAGTGGTCTAGCCTGTGCTAAGCAAGGGCACTAGCCGTACTGAGCCCTTAATCCTCAGACCCCACTGTACTAGAATAAGGGCTGTCAGCCACGTTATGTATGAGGAAATGACAATCCAGATAGGGAAACAGAGCCCAAGACTACAGGGCTAGGGAATGGGTGCCCAGATATGACTCAGGGGCCACATTGTTTCTGTGTTCAGCACGGCTGGGGACATCTGGAGCCTCAGGAAGGAGGTGATTTCCAGAGCCACCTCTGGCTCAGGCCTTTGCTCCACAATGGCACAGCTGGCTAGGAAGCCCATAGGCGGCAGTGGCGGCAGGACCCTGGGAAGGAGTCCTTCCTGTGGCCCCGCTGCTCACTGCAGGCTGTGATCCTCCTAGGAATGGCAGAGCCCAGAGCCCAAGGGCATCCTCGCCTCACTCTGGGGACTAAGACCCCAAGGGGGAAAAAGCTTGTCACAACTGAGAGAGCAGGGGGCTCCTTCCACTCCCCAAGGCTACAGAAGCTGCCTGCAGGATGCCTGCGTGGCTGGGATTCCCCTTGGCTGATTCCCAGTTTTGAACCTTAGCGCCCTGTGGCCTCCCAGTTAAGGTGACCATGTGGTTTGAGGGAACTGTAAATAGAACAGCAGCTGTTCTGGGACTGACATCTGGATGATTCTCTCATTCCCAGCCACCCTTCTTCCCTGCCCCATCATCCCCAGGGGTAGGGAGACACTCACGTGGTGGCTCAACCAGCTCACAGTCCTCAGTGGCACATGGCCGTGAGCTCTCAGGCCAGGCCTCATGGCCACACTGGTCATTGTCTTCCTCTGCCAAACCCGTCTGAGTGTTCACGCATTTGACCAGGCGCCGCTGAACACCACCACCGCAGGGGGCTGAGCACTGCACAGGAGAGAGAGGACAGAATGTCCCCAGCACCAGCCATCACAGCCAGTGACCGGCTAGCACTGGACAGTACCACCCTCTCCAGGAAGCCATCTCTGACCCCGCTGTCACGGGAGGCGTCTGCCCTGGCAGCGAGGACAAGAAGAAATGCAAAACGCACCTTGCACAGAGAAGGCAGACACTGGGGTGAGACCACAGTGCTCGGAAGACACAGAAGAGGCAGAGAGGCTCAGCCAGCGTCCCCACCCTGAGTCAGACTGTTCTCAGGTTTAATCTATTCTGACACCACACAGGATCCATGTTCTTCCCTTAATCTTCCATCCCTCCTCTATGCTGCCCCCATTTTAAAGGGGAAGAAAAGCTCTGCCCAGTCATTCAGCAGCCAATAGATGGAGGAATCACTGAGGTTCCTGAACCAATCAGCTCCCAAAAGGCCCTGCCTCGGGGCAGGGGGAGGCCCCTCCGCTCCCCTCCTGCCACCCTTGTCTTTGTGCCATCCGCTGAGTACCCCTCTTCATTCCTGCCTCAGGGCTCAGCACTTGCTAGTCTCTTCATCCCTCTCTTCATCTTGGCTCATTCCTTTAGGTATCAGTCTGAAGTCTCCTCAGAGGATTCCTCACACAGAGCCTTTTCCCCTCTATCTGATTTTCCCTGGCTAAGTACAAGGACTTCATCTGGTCACTACTGCATAGTTAATGACCCCAGAGGGACCAGCACACAACACACACCCGACCACTCATCCTTCAAAGCCTAAGGACCAGGGGCTACCTGCCAAGGACCGCTCCCAGTTCCTCAAGGAATCCTGCTCACCTGACCCCAAGGCCCCACCACCCACTGTGTGCAGGGGTGGGTGTTGCAGGGCCTGGTGCTGTTGGGTCTCAGCGACTCCTCACAGAGACCTGGCTCTGGGCATGTCACCAGACGCTGCTGTTCACCACCACCACAGGCCTCGGAACACTGGAGGAACAAGGAGGCATTAGGAAGACCCAGGGCCTGAGGGGGTCCCTAATCCCTACCCCTAGGCCCAGGTCTCACCTCTCTCCAGGAAGAGGTGTACCAGCTGAGACAGGGCTGGGTCCCACAGAGCTGTCGGGTGGGTGGCTTCGTAGGCCCAGGCTGGCAGTGGAAGGGCCGCAGTGGCCGGAGGTCCCGTGTGTCCACACACTGTACATCCCTTGTGGAGGAGCCTCCGCCACAATTGCGGGAGCACTGGGGACCAAGGAGCACACATGTAGACACATTCTAAACCCATGCATGCAATATGACCCAATGAAGTTTATGGTACAGCAGGGTTAGACCTTCCAGTTTGGGCCAAAGAGCCCCCAGAAGAATTCGACACTAGGTGACAGCCCCAGGGGACAGGACCAAGGGAATTAGGATGAGCTGGTGTAAAAGAAGTCCAATGGCGTGTGGTGGGGATACAGAGGAAGGACGGCAGCATGAGCAGGGCCAGGCCAGGTCATGCCGAATGAAGAGCTTCCAGAGAGATGAGGACAGACAGGCGCCCACCCTGCCCTGCTGGTCTCTGACCCATGGCCGTGAGACTCAAGGCTCCCTCCTCACTCACCTTACTCCAGTTACCCGTGCGCCAGGCAGCACAGGGCCTCAGGTGACAATGGCGGGCCGGCTGGGGCCGGCTAGAAGGGAGGCAGTCCTCATCGCGGCCAGAGCTGCAGCGCACCAGCCTCCAGGTGGCGCCCAGACCACAAGTGGTGGAACACTGTGGGCCACAGAGGATGTCTGTAAGCCCAGCAGACCCTCACCCTGCCAGCCCCACCACCCAAGGAGACTCAAAAAGTCAAATGTCACCTGCAGTTAACTAGCCCTGCTCCGGTGAGCCCTGTAGGCCCCACTACCTATCCTGCCATTCTGTGGCTTCTCCCTCACCAGGGAACTCTGGGCCCTAATTCAAGCAGCTAAAGGAGTAAATCTCCCCCACAAGATCTCTTCCAATGACAGTCTAGAGAAGGGGCACAGGTCGTCTTTTTTCCATACAACTCAGAACATTATGAGATCGCTAACAAAAGAGGGTGAAGCCTCTGGAGGAGTCTGGCTGTGTCTCAGCTAACCTAGGCAGTGCTGGGTCTGGGAGCCATGGAAAGAGGCCTTCCGTACCCTTCCAGCTGGCTAAGGGGCGATCTCCATTTCCTGTGCAGACGGGTTAGTATAAGGACACTCCTCCCAGCTGCACTGAATTCATAGTTACTGTTGTTTCTGAAGCCCTCCATGTGGCCTAGGAATGACCCGCTAAGGACTCAAAACTCGAGCAGATGGGGCCCCTCACTCCGCTTCCACTTCACAGTTGGGAAACTGAGGTTCAGTGGGACGGACTAGCCTCAAGGCTACATGGCAGCTGAAATAATACTCTTTCTGCTTCGTGGAGCCTCAGCCCACCATGGCCATCAGTGAGTTCATCCCAGGAACCATTGTTCTCCAAGGGAGGCAGGATGAACATGGCTAGGTCTTTTTCTGCTTAAAACTGAGTCCCCGGGTCCTGCTCAAACTCCCCACCATCCCTGGTACCACAAACTCACCTGGCTCCAGTTGCCCACTTGCCAAGTGGCATTCTTGGCAGGCAGCGGATCTGTAGGGGACACATCCTCCACTGGGCTGGGCTGCAAAGGCCAGACCTCAGGGTCCTTGCTACTGTTAGTGTAAGTCTCCTGAACTGGTTTAGGCAGCAGCACAGAGCTCAGGGTCCCTTCAGGGTTAGAGGGCTGTGGCTGGCCTGGTCCTGGGCTACTTAGATCAGTTGGTGCTGTCCAAAGGGAAGTTCCCGGCAATGCCAGAGTTTTTGAGTTCTGTGAGCCCAGTTCTGGGGCTGAAAAGGTAGGAGTCCCTGGCTCCATGGGACTGTCCCTGTCCCAGATGCTTGGTACAGTGGCCAGGGAAGGAAGAAGAGGAGGAGCCACCTCCACAGTGGGCCACTGCTCACCATGCACAGGCTTCAGGTCACCCTCTGACACTGGGTCCCAGGCCACAGGCCCTTCTGTCCACTCTTCCACCGTATCAGGACCAGGAGATGCTTGATTGGTGCTGATGTAGGATGAAGAGGGCTGTGTGGAGGTAGGACTATGGGGCAGAGCTGGTGATGTATGGCCCAAGGTATCCTCATCTTTGGAAACCTTGTTCCTATTAGTGGGAGTGGGTGACTGGTCCTTCCTGTCTTCTCTCACTAGTAACTCATCAGGGTTTCCAGGGGCAACAGGTGTCACCATGCCATCAGCTGAAGCAGGGGGCCAGGGCAAGCTGGGGAGCCCAACTTCAGGGATTTCCATGGGAATATCTTCCTCGGATAAGAAATTGGCCAAGGGGTTCACAGGGGTCTGCTCTAAGAATACAGGTGGGGAATGGCTAGCCTGGCTCAGTGAAGGGCTAGGGGACCAAGCTCCCAGAACCCCCTCTTCCTTAACTCCAGGAGTCCCTGCAGTAGGCACTGGAGCATCTGAGGGGGGTTCAGTGGATCTGATGTAGGGCGATGCTGTCCAACCCCCTGCATCAACCGGGTCTGGATGGGGTTCTTCAAAGGACCCATAAGACAGGTCTTCATGGAAGTTAATAAAATTGTAGTCATAATAGAAGTCATCCACGAACACAGGCCCGGGCGGATCCAGTTCCGGGTCCTCCTCATCAATAGCATTGCTGATGCTCATTGGCTTGGGTGAGGATGCCGGTGAAGGGCGTGGGGTCGGCCGGTGTGGGATGAAGTCAACCTCATTGAAGAGCTCGGGGCTGGAAGAGCCACTGCCGGAGCCATCTGTGCCCGTCATGTACATGGGGCGTGGGCAGGGAGGCAGAAGACAGGTGACCTCCGTCACCGGTCGCTCAGCTTCATCGCAGGGAACATGGGTATCATTGATGCAGAGGACACTCCGCTGCCGCATGCCACCTCCACAGGTCACAGAGCACTGCAAAAGAGGATGGGGCTTCTGGGAAAACCCGGGGCATGGTGGCAGAACCTGCCTACTGCTGGTATCATAGTGACAGAGGTCTCAGCCAGCCCTTTGTGGCCATGCTTTTAAGGTTCAAGATGATAGTCAACATGCCAGGGAATTCCTGGTCCCCACGGCTTTGTAAACAGTGTTGTCCCAGGAACGCTCCAGGCTCCCTCCCACCCCAGGTAACAAGCAGTAAGGATTCTGTGCAGGTTTTCTGAGGTAATGGTGGTACCAGACCCGGGTTCCCTTTCCTCCGTACGCTTACCTGAGACCAGTTGCCCACACCCCAGGTGGAAGGACAGGGTACATGGTGGTTGCATGGGGTTTCAGCCAAGGGACGAGGAAGATGCGCACAGGCAAGTGGTTCCAGGGCTCGCTGCTCATCCAGCCCTACACTGCGTATGCAAAGCACGGTCCGGCGAGAGAGACCTCCAAGTCCACAAGATTTGGAACACAGCTGCCACTCCCCTGCCCACCACCTGGCAAGGAGCACACAGTGATGATAGTGTGGCATTAGCCCCTATGTGACATGAGCAAAGGTGGCCACAGCATGGCTTCAGGCCATTGGGGTGCAGACAGGGCTGAACGGAGAAAAATCCCCTTAGAGCCAAACCCCAAGTTGGTGCTCTGCCCCTGAATCCCAGTAGCAGAGCCCTCTTCACTCCCACCACCGTTACTTCAGGGACCTGGACAAGATAGCCAGTGACACAAAGAGGAGTGATCAAGAACATCTAGGCTGGCACTGCTGCCCAAGGACATTCAAGGGTCAAGCCAGGTCCACGGATTGATGCCTCTGACTTGGGGAGAAGAGGCCACAAGCTACTTGCTCTCTTCCCCAGCGGTACCAGGGTCCCGATGCAGAGGAAAGGGCAGGACGCCTAGGAATTGGAAGTCTGGTGGGGGACAGCATGCTTACCTGGCAGGACAGGGCTCCTCACTGCATTTCCTCTGGCGGTCATCGGGCCGATTGAGATGTTCACAGTGCTCCTCATCCACAAGTCCCGCCTGCCTCTCCATGCAATACAAGCTCTGCCTCTGCACACCTGGAAGCCATGGCGATTCAGCCTGGGCCTGGCACCAGGTTCCAAAGGATGTAAACACACCCTCTCTGTCCAGACCCTCACAGAACAGGGTTCTGCTGCCTCTGTCGGGGTGAAGACAGGCCTCCTTGACCTCAGTGCCCTCCCAGGCTTCCCTCCATGACACCCTACACTTGGAGACAATAGAGGGGGCAGCGGGCTAGGTGGCCCACCCCACTGCTTCTTGGCTTAAGACTTTCAGCTCTATAAACTGGAAATAAATAACAAGACCCACTTCAAAGCCCTGGGGTGAGTGTTACATGTGATCACACATAAGCTTGAAGGGTTCCTCAAGTGTGCGTCTCACCTGTACCACAAGTGACGGTGCACTTGCTCCAGGGCCCGTAGTGCCAAGAGAACTCGGGTAACTGGACTTTATCATGGCTTTCCCTGTGGATGGTATACTTGTAGTGCACCCCAGGATTGCTCTCTTGGAACAGCAGCTGGAACAATCAAATGGGGGGGGCCTATGAGCCCAGGGGCCCTTCCTCATCTGCCCAGCACCTGCACCTAGGGTCGTCCCCAGCCACCTCTGTAAACTGAGCTGTATTTGAGACCTACTCTAGAGATGGGAAAACTGAGACAGAGGTTCAGAGACCCCATCAGCTGAGCCCAACCCAGAACCATAGCCTATGACAGCCCTAAGGTTTCCCCGTATATCCTACCTGGCGGACCACCCCGTTTTAGTCCTCCCATCCTGGCCTTGAGAGGCAGGTACCTGGATCCAAACAGGCTCACTGGTGGGGCCGGGGGACGTGAGGTTCTCCCAGTTGCCTGTGCGCACATAGGTGAAGGTAGTGCCCGCCACCTGATAGTCCCCATTCCATTGGATGGTCCAGCCACCATTGAGGAAGTACTTATCTGGGTCCTCACTCCGCAGGGCCAGGAAGTTGGCGGCCTCAGCTACCTCCTCAATGAGGATCTCTCGGGCTCCGGCTGGGATCAGCCCTATATCCACATACCCTGTTGGCAAGGGTTGGACAGCGTTTGGGCTCTGGGACAAGCAGTCAGTTGTTACTTCCCCCGCCACCCCCGCCACCTTCTTGCTTCCTTTTGTCTATGCTGATGAAGCCAAAGACTCTATCATCAGCTCGGGATTCTAAGTCCCCACACAGGGCAGGTATTATATCTACTCTGGGTCACCGAGGCCTCAGAAAGGGTCCACAGATCCTTCCCCACTGACCCATGGCCCAGCGTCACTCTCCTGGAAGACTGAACTAGTCTTTTTCACAGCCTTGTCTATAATCTCTCCCATCATGGAAAGCCAAAATGCTTGGGCCCCTCTCCTTTTCTCTAGACAACCTGACTTCTCTTTTGTAGTTATGGAACACTGCGCTTGGGTCTATGCAGCACTACCCCATGCTGTAACAGGCACTGTTGCCGTTCCCATTTTACAGAGGGGTAGATGAAGCACTGAGGGAAAGAAATGCAAGCTGTGGAGCCCAGCGTCATAGCCTCTCAGCCCACCTGCCCTGCAGGGCCAGGCTCTCCTCACCCAGTCTTCTGAGCCCATCATCATCCACCTCCTATGGGTGTTTCCTTCTCTCCCTGAAGTACACAGCCTACTGCATTCATCACAGCGAAGTTTCTGTCACCCCATGGGCTCTTCCCCTAGGTGGCCCCCATAGTTGAGCACACAGTTGGCACTTGAGCCCTATGTGTAACTCAGACCCCAAAGTTGAGGCACAGCACTGGGAAGGTCTCTGGAGGGTCAGAAGACAGCAGCTCTCTGAACAGACGACAGATCACTCACAGTCCCTAGGATAGAAGGACGACTAGGACAGGTCTCACTTGGGACAGGGTCTCACTGACTTCTGGGAGGATCCTGACCAGACAAGGAGACCGCCGCCAGTCATGTCTAGTCTAGGCAAGGACCACAGGGGCAGAGACTAAAATGGCAGGCACACATTCACAGTCCAGCAGTCCCAACCATACCCAGGCCCTCAGCCTCCTCGAAGGTTCTGCTCACGGTGTGGCAAGTAGAGCCATTGCCCTGGCATACACCACAGTGGTCCTCCACGGCACCAGAGTCGATCTCAAAGTCGCAGCCCACGTTCTGTAACAGAGAGGAGGCCCTTTGTGCTGGCTGCCAGCCTCTTCTGGGTATCCACCAGGGCTCAGTAAGGAGGCCCTAGGTGGACGTCAAGAGCCGTTGCTTGGGGTCCAGTCTCATCACAGCCAGTGTCCCTGTCACAAATGAGCTACTCTTCCCCTGATGAAGAGGGGACATCAGTCCATGCCTTACAAGAGTGTTGAGAGCATCACATGACACAAAAGGCAGGAAGTCTCTTTCATAGAAGGCTTCAGGTAAGCATGGCTCCTAGCACATGGTGGAATTTTCCAGAAATAGGATTCAATTTCAAAGACATTGGGTTAGCACCTCCTTTCTAGGCTTCCTCTAAACCCAGGCCTTTAGCACAGTAGCTTTAAAGGTGAGAAGCAGGGTAAGGAAGGTGGCTGGGGCCCTGGGCATGGAAGAGCAGCCAGTATTAGAAACCAAAAGAGCTATTGCCAAACAGCACTTTCTGCAGGCCCAGAGCCTGGCACACCAGCAGTACCACCTTGTCAGCTCCTTCCTATCAGAGAGGAGGCAGTGGCCTGCACCCACCCAGGCTCTGGTTTCATGGCTGGGGTTATATAGGCAGGCATGCTGGGATGAGCAATAGGCAGTTGGTGGAGACAAAGTAATACGATGGTAGTGGCTGAGAATCTAGAGCCAGCTGTGGGATGTCCATTGCCAGAGACAGCGGGGCACAGAGGCTTTGTCTTAGAGTCAGGGGACAGGGGCATGCAGCTTGGAGGAAGCCAGGAAAGACCTAGAGGTGGATCCCTTGCCCGCCAGTGAGTCTAGGAGAGTCCCTTTGCTATCCCACACACCTTGCAGATGCCGTTGATGCAGATGTCACGGCTGACCCGGCCTTGGTAGCAAGGGGTGCCATCCACCACGGCATCCCTCAGCTTCTCTGTATTGGAGTGTTTGGAGGGCCGGCAGTGCAGCTCACAGGGGTTCTCTAAGGGGACAAGCAGAGGACTCCGTGGAGCAAAAGCAAAAGAGCAGGCATTACAGAGGCCATCAGGAAAATCCCTTCATCCTCCATAATGTGCATGAGTAGTAAGGCCAAGGGAATCCGACGGGACCGAGCGCTATCTGCAGAGTTGCAGACTGAGGAGCTGGGAATGAACAGCTACCCCAAACAATGGTACGGAGCAGACAAGGGCTGAAGGTGATATCTAGACCTCAATACGTGGGCCTATATCACTGGGGCCCCTACGTCCCCCATCCCTGGCTTCAGTGTCTACATGGGTAGCAGGACTCACCATCATTGACCACAGGCACCCATGTATGCAGTTGGCCCTTGTAGAACATGGCATCAAACTGGCTACACTGGGTATGGCGGAAAGAGGGGCGGCCAGCAGGACAGGCTGGCAGGTTGCAGAGTCGGAACCGCTTCCGCTCCCCCACACAGTACTTGCCTCTGTGCTTAGGTCTACGAGGAAAGCCATCAGGGTGTGAGCATGCTACTAGTACCCAATGCCAAGCAACATCTGTATCCGCACCCAGAGTTCCCTGCTGTCTTTGGCTATGCTGCCCTACCCTCGAGCCACTCTCTGACCCATACACATCCATCCTGTTTCCGAGGGTCTACGAAAGAGTGGCGGCAAGAGGCCTAGGTTCGGCCAGACCTGCTGTATGACCATGGGCAAATGCTCGCCATCCTCCAGGCCTCAGTTTCCTCATCTCTAGAATGGAGTTGGACTGCCTTTAAGGGGGATGCTGAGAGCTGGAACACGTGGTGAGCTAATGGGCCAGCCTTATGTCATGAGAGTTGTCGTGGGGACAGCACCCTGAGCCAGCTCGAAGGAAGCCTCCAGGCCCCACCCAGGTGAGACACTGCCTTGGCTTGGCATCTCACATGCACCCCATCTCAGCCAGGCCACCGAGCTGGAGGGGGAGACATGTAGAGGGGTACAGACCACGGGCCTGGTGAAGCACAAGCCCTGAGATGGAATTGCCTGTGAATTCTACCTCCTTGGGAGCCAGGCAAAGTTGTCCTAGACAACCCTTTGTTTCGTGGAGTCTCCCTTAAAATGAGAAGGCTCACCCCAGGCCACAGCCACCCCACCAGGGCTGCCCAACTGCTGCCAGTCTCCTCAGGGGTCTGAAGAAGCTGGTGCTGGGCATTTCCCAGAGCACTGGGAGAACTCAGTGCCTCATCCATATGGCCTGACTTTACCCAATGACAAGTTAACTAGGACTCTGCTAGCATCCCATTATAGAGTTGAGCACACTGAGGCCCAGAGGAGCAATGGAAAAGGATGCCCTTGTGTGAGGGTAGAGGGCCTTAACCCTGAGCATTCCAGGACCCAGATGCAAAGCATTCACCTCTGCCCCGACCTCCCCACAGTCCCTGCCTGTGCTGCAAGGTCTCCGGTTCATCTCCCCAGGCTCTGGAAGAGCACTCCCCTGACTGCAACCGTGTCAGCTCTGGGGGAATGCTTCCAGAACACTCCCTGGAAGTGGCCGGTGGTGACTTAGACACTGGACTCGGCCCTTCTAAGGATACTTTTGAGAGCTGCATGCTGGAACACAGGCAGCCTCCACAATCGGCTCCGCTTAGGTCCTTTGTCCCAGCCTGGGCCCCGCACTCACACAGGTTGTGTGCACTGTCGTTCAGCACTCCGTACACCCACGCCACAGCTCCTCGAGCAGACAGACCAGGCACTCCAGCCGGACCAGCCACCGTCCACCGCCTCAGGCTGGAAGCCCTCAGGGACGCACTCTCCACTGAGACACCACTACTGAGACAGACGGAGGCAGAGCAACCCAACCCCGACCCCTCTCAGTCATCCTCATCCCAGTGAGAACAAAGCAAGCAAGACAGTCGCAGAGGCGGGAGGATGGAAGGTGCAAGACAGCTTTTATGGTCACCCACAGCCCAGACACCATACTGAAGCAAAACGAATACTAAGAGCAGAAGCTAAAGTCGACCCCAGGGAAGTCTGGCGTGGCGTGGTAGAGGACAGGCAGCCCCCCCACCTCACCCCGCATTCAGGCAGGGTCGAGGTTTCCCACCTACCTTGTTCTTCCCACATCTCGTGCCATCCACGGCTGCATCCAGCTTGGAGTGACAGGTGGTCCCCACAGAGCACCACAGTGTGTGGCAGACGTTCTGCAAACAGACGTGTGCATCACCCTCATCCTCTCCCCAGTGAGACCACCCAGTCTGCCCCTATTGTCCCCCGAGAGCCCCCTGGACACTTTCCATAGGGGCAGTACACCAAGTGAGTGTGCAAGTGCGAGGGTCCACTGTCTGCTCCTCCTCTCGCCCCTCCCCTCAACCACATCCTATCATGGGGCCCTTGGGAGGGGCTATCCTCCAGGCTGGGTTGGAGCTGAGAGCTGTCTCCAGCTGACCGCTTCTTCCAGCCCCCGGCTACACCTCCTCAAACACTCAAGGTAGAAGCGTCTGTCATATCTTTACAAGACTCTCTGTTGGACTCTAAAGGGCAGATTTTTTTTCTCTTCTAAGTCAAATCCAGAGGGCTAGGGGTCTTGTCCAAAGTCCCCTGGGGGTTGATACAGAATCCAGACCTGGGCCTGAGACCACCCAACCCCAGGTTTCTGCTGAAGGTCACATTAGGTATCACCATGTCCGTTGAGAGTCCAGCCCAAGCCAGGCAGAGGTTCTGAGAACCTGTCACTCTCAGGCTGGTGAGGGCCATCGCCTGTGACTCCCACACCCTTACTCACATCCATGTCCTCACAGAAGACTGAGTAAGCTCCATACTGAAGGCGGCACTGGTGGTTCACATCATACAGGACACCGGGCAGCACCGAGGGGAAGTCAATGACGTCTTTGGCTGGAGAGTCATCCAAGCACAGGCCCCACCCACGGCTGCAGAAAATGGGATGGAAGGGTAAAGTGAGGTCCCTTAGGGCACGAGGGTAGCCTGAGGCCCATGAGAGAGGCCTGGGTGGAAGAGCAGAGCAGGTGGGACTTGTGGAAACAGCGGGAAAACGACAGTCTTCCGCCTGGCCAGCCCATCATGTGGTCCCAGCCTCGCAAGGCAGTCCTGTAGGCTTCTCTCAGCTGCCTGGAGCTCCAGCCTGCTAACAAATACCCCACCCCTATTGTAGGCCTTGGCACAAGCCACTGGCCAGCCACAGACACTCTGGCACCCTTCTTCCAAAGGTCAGGTCCACCAAGCCCTCAAGTGGCTATGCTCTTAGCTCCTGCGGCCTCTACCCCTGCTGGGAGCCTGGGGCCAGGCTGGATTGGGCCAAGCTCTGGAAACCATCACACCACAGCTGATAAAACAAAAGGCCTCTGGGGGAACAGCTGCCCGGCCACCTCCCACCCTGACCCGAGGGCCTGCCCCCTGCTCCTTACTCCCCGTTCCTTCCTGCCTTCCTCTAGCAAGCATTCCAGGGCAGTGACAAGAGAATGGGACAATATGAGCAGGCACAGCCCATGTGTATCACACGCTCCTTCAGATGTGGTGCCTAGAAAGGTGGCCATGCAGCAGCGGCAGTGGCGGCGGCGGCGGCGGCGGCAGCAGCAGCAGCAGGCAGGCAGCAGGGAGGCAACAGGGATACCCCCAGTCCACACAACCACCTCTGTCTTGATTAACTCTAAATGTTCTGTGAGGTTGTCTGGAAGCAGGAGGGTAGGAGTGTGCTGCCAGCCCCCAAGGGCTCATTTTGGTCCCTTAGGGATGGGAGGAGGGTCCAGGGCCTAGAGTCCAAGGAGATTTGAGCTACAAATATAGGCAACTAGGTGACGAGACAGAAAGGACTTAGTTGGAAATAATAGGAGGCAGAATCCGTGGGAACACAGGTCCTGTCAGGGGAGATGAGTACAACCCGAAGCCAGGTTGACTTGAGGACAGAAGGTACCAGGCCAGGGAGCCAGGATGAACAGGAGTCTGGTTGGAGCAGGCAGAAGTCCCAGGGAAAAAAAAAAAACAAAGTAGAATCTAACAGAGGGAGGAAGAAGGGACACTAGTCCCTTGTGACACTATGCCAACTTGCTAGGGGGTGGGGCACTTATGGGCTTGATGCTAGACAGCTAGAGATATAGCAGCCTACTTCTCAGTTTGGCTGAGGATGTTATGTTGCCTCAGTTTACCCCCAATCCTCTCTGAACTGTCACAGCCTCATGTCTAAGGGACCAATCCAAAGCTGTAGAAGCATCCACCGCAGTGTCTGCTTGCAAAGTCACAGAAGCAGCTGGCCTTCCCTTCCTCTTGTGGATATTATATGACCTTGGACTACTACCTAGCCTCTCTCGACCTTCACATCCTCACGTGTAGGAGGCCCCAAGCTATCCCAGAGCACTGTCTGCTTAGGAAAAGCCAGGGGCAGCCTTTCCTTCCTCTGGCTGGCTCACAGCCAAGCTCCTCCAACAGCTGGGCGTAAACCAAGGTCAGCCATCCCCTAGGGGCTCTTTCTTGTGATAATTATGGCAGGGCCACTCCACAAAGGGTCAGAGTAGATGTGGGGTGACTCCAGTAGGAAGTCTTACTGTCACCTTGATATTGGGAAGAGCTGACTGACTGCCTGTGTGCCAATTTCCCTCTCTGGCCCTGGTTTCTGGTCATAGGGTCTCTGTACAGGAGGTTGTTGGAAAAGAGATGAAGAACCCCACCCCACCCCACCCCCAGGCCTGATCCCCACTCTGCAAAACCCTGACTTCAAGAACAGGCATGAACAGCCAGGCGGTGGTGGCACACACCTTTAATCCCAGCACTCAGGAGGCAGAGACAGGCAGGTCTCTGTGAGTTCGAGGCCAGTGTGGTCTACAAGAGCTTGTTCCAGGACAGCCAGGGCTGTTACACCATGAAACACTGTCTCGGGGCCGGGGTGAATCCTTGCTTGAACGGGAGAGATGCATGGATGCTGCAACCTCTCCACTATACATAAGCACCTATCAGCCCAGAGAGACTCCTGGAGTTCTTCAAGTCAGCTATCTTGGATTAGCTGCAGACAGACGCCCCTGATCCCTCCCTTCTGCAGACCATCCCCTGATCCTTCACCCTGTCAGGTTCCTAGGTTCTTCCTTTGCCAGGTTTTCCCTATGCTCAGCTTCCTCTCCTACCCGACTTCAGTGTCAGCTCTAAAAGCCCTGAGAGTGTGTCCCTACTTCCAAGAGATGTCTCTGTCCCTCTACACCTTCTTACACGCCCCCCCACACACACTCACCAAGGACTGCTGCCACCCCCTCCTCACTTTGAGTTATTATGTCTTCATCTTTGTAAGGGTGAGCGTCTGCAGACAGGTTCTATATGTGGCCCTGGGCTCTATTACACGTGTGCTTGTGGGCCCAGCGAGGGGAAGCCACGTCTCAGTAAAGCAGCTCAGGAAACATATTCGCTGGGAGCTGAGGGGCGTGGCCATATAGGGATAGTGGGTGGTCTGTACATGATGCTGAGAGTTCCCCAAGCTATGGAAAGACTGCTGCTCCACCCATCCAGCACCCACTCGTTCAGATGATCCCCACCCTGTTTGGGCTGAGACTGTCTCCTGTCCCACCCCAGCAAGGAGCTAGTGGTGGGAGATGGAGCAGCCACTCTGCCTGCTGTGGAGGGTTCCTCTGCTTTCCCCTTCTCCTGGGCTTTGCACCCCTTGACTGCTGGCTCACAGATGGAGCAGAGAGGTGTGGTCTGACCTGGGAAGGGTGACTCTCCCTCCTGAGCACCCTCAGGTGGTGGAGTCCAGTTCCATCCGCAAGGCAAACCTCAGGCTCAGGCTCTCTGCCTCTCCTCCTACCCTGAGCCCAAGCCCCCAGCCAAGGCTCTCATACATTCCAGCCGCTAAAGGAACACAGAGACTTGCCTGTTCAGTTATCTGTCCCTGAGCCAGGGTGCTGGGTGGCACTCTGGGTGGGGCAGCTGGGAACAAGCCCCGTGGGTGTTTCAGGGTACCCACTCTTCTGATTTCCTCTGCCCTCTCTGGGAAGTTCACCTCCTCCCCAACCCAGGCGGCTTCTCTGGTTCAAATCCACAGGCCAACCACTTGGTTAACCACTGTAGAAAGAGTAATAGCAACCGTGGCCACATACTGACTGTGTACTATGTGGTAGGCACCGTGCTAACTGTGCCTTTTGCTTTCTCAGTTAATCCTTACAGCAAACACTAAGCCTGTCCATCATGATCCCCATTTTTGGAGGCTTAAGGGCTAATGGAAATCATCTGCCAACACGAGAAGCCTGGGCCAGAGGCCAGGTTTTAACCACTGAACCGAACTCTTCAGTTTCCAGTTGTCACCCCCTCATCCAAATCCCTCTTCCAGGAGAGACCTGGGTCCATGCTCTCAGCAACCCAGACGCCCTAGGCATGCAGCAGTCTAACACCATAGGGAAGGGACTTCCAGAGAACCACAGCACACTGAGCAAGCAGGCACAGCTCTTCAGCTCTCTGCTGAAGCCCTTCTACACTGACATTTGAGGGGTAAACAAAGCATAACTCCACCCGGGCAGAGGGTAAGAGGACATGATGACAGCAAATGAATGATGGAAACAGAACTTCTGGAAGCTGCAAAGCAGATGGCCGACCAGTAGCTGACTTGGTAAAGCGACAGACGCTGAGCGCTGAAGCTGCGAGGAGACACAATGGAGAAACAGAACCCTAGGAGATTCAGGAATCTAGATCTCAGGGACCCTTAGATATCTGGGGGCCAGTAGAGCTGAGGACAGAGCAAATTGGAAGGTTTCCATGCCAACCCTGTGTAGCCAGGGGATTGCCATCACCCTGCCCAGAAGAAAAGAGACCCAGCAGGACCTGGTCTAGGAATCCCAATCACAGACAAAGGCTCACAGCAAAGGAACCTATGGAGAAAGGACCACTAATATTCTGCACAGTAAAGGCTGAGACACCAGTAAGTCCTGCCCTTTCGGAAGCCACCAGACGGATGTGAGACGCTCCCAGGAGACTAGAGTCTTCTCTGGGTGTCTCAAGTCACTCAGAAACATAACCTCAGTTTCTGGCATTTAAGGATAATTGCTCCCCCTCAAAAAAAAAAAAAAGCTGAATCCCAATAAGCCCTTCATCAGTGACTCAGAAAGCTATAGCCAAGGCTACAGATCTCCCAGTAGACAGCTGTTTCTTCTTATCTATACAAAACATACAAACATATTTTAAGAAAAGCTTTAACATGAAAGAAATATGTTTAGAAAGAATAAACCAGGCACTGGAGAGATGGCTTATCAGTTAAGAGCACTTACTGCTCTTGCAGAGGATCAGAATTCAGTTCCCAGTACCCATATCACATGGCTCACAGCAGCTTCTAACTCCAGTGCCAGAAAAATTCAATGGCCTCTCGTGGCCTCTGCAGGTACTACACTCTTGTGTGCATACACAGAGACATATAAATATAAATAAAATTAATCTTTAAAACAAACAAACAAAAAAAAGTAAAGATTTCAGGCCAGGCTGTGGTGGTTTGCACCTTTTTTAAATCCTAGCACTTGAGAAGCAGAGGCAGGAGGATCTCTGAATTCAAGAACAGCCTAGTCTATAGAATGAGTTTTAAGACAGCCAGGTTTACACAGAGAACCCCTGTTGTGAGATATTTGTACACTGTACGAAGGTGTATTGTTGTGATTGGTGTGAAATAAAAAGTGGAGCAGCCAACAGCTAAGCAGGAGGTATAGGCGGGACTTCCTGGGAGAGAAAGGAAGAGGAAATGGATTGAGGTGCACAGGAGACGCCATGGAGACACTGGAAGTCAGACATACAAAATAAAAGAAAAAGCAAAAAGCCACACGGATTTAGATTGATAAAAGCAGGTTAAGTTTTAAGAGCTAGTGGAGCAAGCCTAAGCTATGATCAAGCTTTCATAATTAATAAGTCTCTGTGTTGTTATTTGTGAGCTGACAGCCTAAAGAAAAATCTGACT